ATAAAGAATAGAGAATAATGGACAGAAATATAGAGAATATGGGAAAATGGGTTAAACAATTAAAGAATACAGAATTGAGGGACACAATCCGGCCCACAAAGGTAACCCAGGGTATTAATTATAGGTTTCATAACGAGTGAGAATTGGATAGCTCTTTATATCAACTCGAGTTATATAATTTCAATATAAAAATAAACGAGCCTTCGGCGAGTTTATTATTACTATTTAAAATAAATAACGAGAGTTGATATCAAGCGATGTCCAATTCTCACAAGTTGTTAAACCTATTTCTCTTATGGTCAACACTTTCATTGTGTTGAATTAAAAATTCCGCGAATCGTTGATCTAGTCTTTTGCACTTACCAGTATGACGTCATATGTCCTGTTCCGATGTCAGACATTTTAAAACTTTTTGTACGCTTCAGAATGTAATAAAATTTGACAAAATGAAGATTGTCAGTTGAAAAGTGTGAGTGTTTCGTATACTTTTGAAGAAATTACATATGTCCGTTTCAACGAACGAAGTGTACATCGTCTTAACCTTTGAAAGTTATCAATAACCTAACGAATAGCCAATGGAAATGTCGTAATATCGTCTCATGATGCTTGATAAGCCAATCAAATTAACGCATATCTTCATATCACTTTTTCGTATCACACTCCGTGCAGTGTGATACGAGAAATATCTCTTCATGCAAGAAATAGATAACAGGCCACAACCATAAGAGAATTAGTATTAAACATGTTAAGTATAGAGGTGTTTTTTTATTTATCAATTATTACGTGATCACAACAACTTCAACACTTCTTAGAACTTACCACACCAAATGCCTTTTACAAAAAATATGCAATTTACAATGCACAAGTACACAGAGATAATCTCCATCTTCAGCATCAAATCATGCTTTAGTAACAGCATTCATCAGCTAGAGTATGAAATCCAAGTGATTTTTGCGAATTCATTAAAGTATGGATTTTCCTGGTGTTATGAACAATAGGTGATAATATCAGTCAGTGTGTTCGGTGAAATAGTTCTCTTTTGACATTTGCCATTATATAGGTTTGAAAAATGAAAAACATTCATTATGTATTAAAGGTACTCCGGATTTATATTTTAATCAAACTGATGCGTGTTGTTTTCTATTTTTGTGCTGCATTTGGTACATTATGTTATTAAAATAGTTCTTGTTATGCTTTTTATATTGAGGTTGAAGCTTGTCTTTCTTCTTTTTTTTTTTCTTTCTTTATTTCCTAATTTGCGATTTCATTTAAGTTTTGATTTTCCTGGTGTTTTGTACAATATGTAATATTATCAGTCAGTGTGTTCGGTGAAATAGTTCTCTTTTGACATTTGCCATTAGGTTTGCAAAGGAAAAACATTCATCATTTATTAAAGGTACACCGGATTTATATTTTAATCATATTGCTGTTGTTTTCTTTTTTTGTGCTGCTTTTTGATACATGTATATTATGTTATTAAAATGGTTTTTGTTGTGTGTGTTTCTTTTTTATTTCGGTTGAAGCTTGCTTTTCTTCTTTTTTATAACTATGATCTAATTGTCCAGTAGTGGCTGTACTGTTGGTTGCTGTTTTAATGGCGATTTAAAAAAACATTTTGGCAAAATTTTAGCATATTTCACATAAATCAAAATGTCAAACCTGCGGTTCCTATGCCCAGATAAAAGAGAACAATAATCATAAGAAGCAAATATTGTAAAAGCTCAAATGTCCTATATATAAGCGCAAATGTCCATTTTTAATAAGCGCAAATGTTCTATAAATTGAAGTGTAAATGTCCTATAAATTGAAGCGCAAATGTCCTATGAAAAAGCGCAAACATCCCGCGCCGATCAATATAGCGTACCAATATATATTATTTGAAAACTTTGAATATAGAAGAAATGCTAGAAATAACTATATCGACGAGACGACCAATAGACATAAAATTGAGAATAGAAATGGGGAATGTGTCATAGAGACAACAACCCAACCAAAGAGCAGAAAACAGCCAAAGGCCACCAATGGGTCGTCAACACAGCGAGAAAATCCCGCACCCGGAGACGGGCTTCAGCTGGCCCGTAAACAAAAATGTGTACTAGTTCAGTGAAAATGGACGTCACACTAAACTCCGAAACATATAAATGAGCAAAAATTGAAAAAAAAAGCTTCAAGACTAACAAAGGCCAGAGACTCCTGACTAGGGACAGGCGCAAAAATGCGGCGGGGTTAAACATGTTTTGTGAGATCTCAACACCCCCCCCCCCCCCTCCCCATATACATCTAGCCAATATAGAATAAACGCAAAGTAAAACTAAGTTAAAAATAAGTTCGAGTCCAATGTCAGAATTGATAAAAGAAGAAACTAAGCAAAATGTCAACGATACATAAATTAACAAAGGACTACTAGCAGTTACTGACATGCGAGCTCCAGACCGCAATTAAACTGATAGAAAGATTGATAGAAAGATTATGTCTTCGTCATATAAAAAATTAAGCACATTCCCTCCCGTTAGGGGTTTAGTAACATACCATCATAAAATATTCTAGAATTTAAGAACATAACCCGTGTCATGCCAATAACTAGTTTTAGAATAAATGTGTTTACTTTCTATGCAAAGATGCTATGAGTGAATCAATATTAATTCCAAAAAATGCCATCTTTAATGACCTGACAACGGTATGTACAGTAGGAAAACGGTTCGCTGAGAGCCTTTTCTGTCCCAAGAAAATGAAGGTTTGCACTTAGGTGATTTTGGCTTAAATGAGATTGTTTGGTCTGTGCAAAGTTTTAACTGAAACATCTTATCTACAGGTCCAGATACTACTTATACTTTATTTTATCTGGTTTCCAGAATATTTTCTAGAATTGGTTTGATTCGTTGTTTAAGATAAATCTCCCAACAGATGACCTGATATTATACAACGACGGTTATATTTGACCATTGTTGTTCTTTATGTGGAGAAACATCTGCTTCTAGTACTATAAAACTATACAAATTAAAAAAGCGTGCAGCAGCAATTAATACTTACACTTGTAATGCTAGAAATGATGTTCCATCATGAATACCGCTATTTCTAAAATTAGCAACTATGAGGGTCTGGATGGAGGTTTCTTTATTTCTTTATTCTTTAATTTTTATACCATTTTTCTCTATTCTCTATTCTTTATTCATTTTGCTCATTATTCCCTATTCTTTATATTTCAGCACCCCTTTATTCTCTATTCTTTATATGTTTGTCTATTCTTTATATTTTTGTCTATTGTTTATATTTTTTTCTATTCTTTATATTTTTGTCTATTCTTTATATTTTATAGTCATTTATTCTGCACTTTTGATTTTGAATTTCTTTGCATCACTATAAAAACAGCGACAAACAATACAGTCACAACTGAACAATCATGAGTTAAAAAAAGAAGAAGGGCAAGCTTCAACCTCAATGATAGAAGCACAACAAAAACCATTTTAAGAACATATATATCAATTTGATTAAAATGTAAATCCGGTGTATCTTTAATAAATACTGCATGTGTTTCCTTTTCGAACTTAGGGAGCTACCATTTGATTTTTATGGGGGTTGGGGGCTAGGATGAAAATTTTGTCCTGCATTTGTTTTTTCAGTTGTAATCTCTGTCATGCCTTTTTATTTTTCACTCTATTCGGTCCTGCCTTTTTTTTTATTAGTTTATCCTGACTTTTTTTACATAAATTGTCATCCTGCCCTTTTTTTTTTGCCAAGTTGCTCATCTTGCCTTTTTTTACTCAAAACTCCTGTCTTGCCTTTTTTTCAAAGGAGTAGGTCCGGTATGACCCAAAATACAGCGTTTGTACAAAGTTGTTGAAAATGATAACTTTTAGCTATTTATTGGAAAGCAGAATACTTTCGTTACATAGATATGGACTATTTTTGACAATACAATGGACATTCATCAGGTACTAGCATCATTATTTCATGCAAAAATACTGACATCTTCACAAGTTTAGCATTTGTGCTTATTTTATGACCGGCGGTTTTTGTCTAAAATGGAAGTGGCCGCATTCGTGTTCAGTCTCAACATCAGTATATATGTTATGTATTATCAAATAATACAACTTACATTTAAATATTAAGATTGAACACAAGTGCGAAAATGGACGTTTTATGGTATATTTGACAGATTTTTCATACTTAAGCAGGAATTTGAGTCTCTTTAATGACCAAATCATTTAAAATCTTTAACAAAAACTAATTGAATTGACTGAAGTAGACACATAAGTGTTTAAAAAATGTCAAAAATCTTTCATCAGATGTACTTCGAATTTTAAGCCGAAATTAGCCCTTACCGGACCTTCTCCTTTCATCCTACCCCCCCCCCCCCCCCCCCCATAAAAATCAAATGGTAGCTCCCTTAATGACAAATGTCAAAAGAGATATATTTCACCGAACACACAAATAATATCACCTATTGTACATAACACCAGGAAATTCCATACTTAAATGATCTTAAATGAAATTGTTTCTAATTTTGCATCAGGTCAATTTTTAAACAGAAACAAATGGAAAACTAAAATAAAATTTTTGTAAAAAAAAATAGGTCAAATGGGTCAAATAAAGACCTTATCGCAGACTTTTTTGCTAGTTTGTCAACTAGTCCAATACCCCCATTTAAAGTTAATGAAGAAAACTTTCCATTTATCAGACCATCATAGCATATTGCAGTGCACTATCCTCGGGAAATCGTGGTACCGATAATTTTTCATGTTTTAAAATAATGAAACCCGAATTGTATTTCAAAAAGTATATCATTTGTAGAACTTGTACATGTGTATCTTATTTATTTTAGAATTAAGGTAGGAGGGCCTCAGTGGTATAAGCTTTAGTGTTGATAACTGTGCTGCCCTCTCAAGATAAAATATTTACCTAAATTACATGTACTGTACATATTGCCATAGTTCAAAAGCTAATTGTTATTTTCCGAATTTTACCCGTCATTGATTCCATTTTCCATACATGAAATAAACTTCCGGTTTTTATGAAAATTATTGTTCTGCTTTTTTGGCTCATTAATTATAAGGTAAATTACAATGACTATATAATATAACAATCAAATAGATATACTTAAATATCAGGCAGATGTAACCTGTTACTTATAAAATTAAATCGTGCTATTATCAAGAAACAAGTGACCTGCTTTTTATATTGATACGAAACACAATTTTAAGTCTACAGACTACAGACAGTAGTCTGCTTCTTTTAGTTAACCTTCGAAACCAGAATTTGTCAATGTGAAGGTTTTGCATTTGACAATAAAGGAAATGCATTTGCTACAATGACATCACAAAAAATCCTTTAATGGTTCTTCATCAAGTTTGGGAACAACCCCCCAGATGAGGAATACCCCTTAAAAGAGAGACTGTCCCTAAGTCTAAGACAAGGGGTTATTTTGCTGTTGTAGAAAAGAAAAAAAGAAAAAGTTAGCTTTTTTAACTTAAAAAGAATGTGTATTGTTCTTTGGGAAAATTTTCTGCAAATAATGTATATATATATATATGCCCTTATGTACTTAAAAGTTGTTTTAAAAAAATGGAATATTCATTACCTTGAGCATGTTGAGGGGTTGTTCCTAACTTGTTCATTCATTACAAGGATTTTTACTGTAAAACGCTTAAGAATTAATTGGACAGTTTGCATACACTAAAGAATTTTTGTTACAACATTTCCATCTATTTACATTGTATCTCCTCCTTTATTTGACTTGCCTGTTAAGATCATACAATACAGTAGACAAATAATTACGACGTCTTGAAAGGCTATTTAAAATGTTTGCTGTCACACTTTCATGCTGTCACAGCAGAAAATAAAAATAGCATTTCAAGACGTCATAATTGTTTGGACTAAATGATACAATAGCTGCAGAACCATAGCTTTTGTGGTCATTGTGATATTATTTGACAATTTGTAGACCATAGACCACAAATCGTCAAAAAATTCACTAGTGTCATCAAATCTGCTTGAATTTGAAAGTATATGCAAAGAAATTTAGTTATATTATAGCACGCAAAATCTACTTGGGGTGCACAAAATTTGAGGCAAATGAAGACTGTTAATTTCTTAATTATCAATAAATTTGTATTTGATAGTAATTTGTATATAGCATTTTGATGTACATGTAAAGTGGAAATAACACAATGATGTTGCATTAAATGATTAAGAATACACTGTTACATGTATGTAATAATTAAGTGCCAAAAAAGGGAATATTATAAACAAGGGTTTCTATCTATAGCTCAAAAGTTAGCTCATGGACCTCCATTTTTTTCTTTTTGCAATAAACTATGTACAATGTACTAATTTAAGAATGTTGACTGTATATCAAAATTGTCTGTATGCATTTGTATAGGCCAAAAAATTGTCTTTACCTTTTTCACAAAAATGTAATCCTATTCAGTCTTAATTTTAGGGACTTTAAACGAAAAGACCTACACATGTACATGTATGCATTAAGCAACATTTTGCATACAAATACAAAAACATCTCTTCCCGTTTGAATGTTTTGTTTTTTTTCAAAATGCATTATAATAGTTTTTACATGAAACATACATGGTGTACATGCAAATTTCAAACTGAAATTTCTCAAATACTATAAATTCAGAAATTATTGCGATGTTTTTATTAAGGTGAAAAAAGCGACATCATTGCATGATCATCAGGTTTGCAAAAATAAAACTCGCATTTATAATTTCAGTAGTGATTTTCCTTCAAAAAGAATTTTAAAATCGCATTAATTAGATCTCACATTCTACTAGTAATCAGAGATTCACAATAATAAATGCTCACATTAATTTCTGAATTTACAGTAGTCATGAACATGATGAAAGTATTTTTTGTTGTTGCATATCTTGATATCGACGCTGCAATGCAGCATGTACATATGTATCCAAATTGACATTGTGTCAAAATTTAAAAAAAAACTTTTGATATCTTTTTGGTGTCGTGTGCCCTTAAATGTAAAAAATTATCACTTCTAAATTTAAAGGGGATTACTTAATTTCAGTCTCCTATAAACATGATTAAATAAATATTTTGTTTATGAAATTTATAATTTAGTCAATGACTCCTTGTTATCCATTTTTTTTGTTCTAGAGATAAGGGGTGGACAGGTGTAAGGGAATGAGGGGGTGGGAAGCCAGAGTCAAGTGGGAAGGAATCGTGAGTCTGGGGGCAGGAAACAGGGGTAGAGGGAGAGTGAAAATAGGGATATTCTGGTAAAAAAATTTGAAAGATTTTCGTCTGGGAGTAAGGGGAAAGGAAATGGAAGTAAGGGGAAGGGAATTGTCAGTAGAGGGGAGGGAAGTGGGAGTATGGGTGTAGGGAAGTGGGAATCAGGGACCCCTTGTCCACCCCCTCAGAGAATGCTACATTTAGTGTTGAGGACTTTTGCTTTTATGAAAGTTTTATATTTATCGTGTTTATAAATTGAAATTTTACCTCACCTGGTTTATAAGGACATGATCTAAAATTTATAAAATTCCAAGCACTTGAAACCGTTCAGAAACAACCAGGACAATCACACAAGCAATTTGAAAAATCCTGTGAAGTTCGTGAACTATTTTGGATAAAAAGACTTCAAACAAGCTTACCCTCTCAATCTCAATGACAAAATATTGGGACAGTTGATTTTATTAACTTATCTAGTATATTCAATGACTCTACCATCCATAGTCAAATACCTCCATATTTTGATAATACAGAACCACCTATTATTTCGTATTCTTATTAAAAAAACCAGCAGAAGTTTGATTTTTAATTATACGTCAGTTACAGCAGATGTCAATATAGAAAATAATGCTCCTTCCACTTGAGACTGAAACATCTAATTTAGATATGTTCCCTATGGTCATGTCATTACAGGAGACCTCAACATCGTCGAAGACCGTGAGGTCAAAACTTTTCTAAAGAAAGGACCTAAATATTGTCCTCCATCTATAACAAATGTATAATAGATTGGAAACAGTGTCGTCAGGTCATTAAAGACGCTTTGTCTGCCTACTGTAAAAATTGGTGTAAACGTGAAAAATCTGATAAAAAATCCCTAGTTACTTGAAGAAAATTATGAATACTGTTGATAATTGAATATTTCATTTTGAAAACAATTCTGAAATTATTAATAGGGTCCATGATATACCCATTTCTAGAATTAAAAAAATAAACTCCAAGTACTCGCAAAGCTGTTTGTGTTCGTACCGGCAGACAAAGCAGCCAATAATCATGATAATGTAGTGGTTGTGTGATGCATATACTACACGGAAGTTCTCCAAAACGAAATTTTCAATTCGACTACATTCAGGTCCGTACGCTCCACAGAGAGTCAAATCGTAAACAAGCATATCACTGCCACTACCCAGCTTAAAGCCTCTTCCAAACATTTGAAAGTCCCGACTATGTATACTGGTTACCTAAATTATATAAACAACCATTTAAATTCCGTTTCATCTCCGCATCTAGTAAAAATAAGTGTTCTACTACTAATCTGTCAGTGCTTCTAACTACCTCCCTTCCTACTATCAAAGAACTTGTTATTAACTTTTGTAATAAAGCTTATGAAAATAATGGTATTAATTATTTTTGGAGTGTTAAAAATTCATTAGAGGTTTTAGATAAAATACGTGGTTTTGGTGGTCCTTTTAATTCTGTTGACAGTTATGATTTTTCTACTCTCTACACTACACTTCCATGACTTCCACACAATCTTATCAAGAAAAAGTTTTCATAATTAATTATTAAATAGTCTTTTAAACCCGCTGCATTTGTTTGCACCTGTCCTAAGTCAGGAATCTGATGTTCAGTAGTTCTCGTTTGTTGATGTGGTTCATAAGTGTTTCTCGTTTCTCGTTTTTTATAAAGATTAGACCGTTGGTTTTTCCCATTTGAATGGTTTTACACTAGTAATTTTTGGGGCCCTTTATAGCTTACGGTTTGGTGTGAGCCAAGGCTCCGTGTTGAAGACCGTACTGTGACCTATAATGGTTTACTTTTATAAATTTTGACTTGGATGGAGAGTTGTCTCATTGGCACTCATACCACATCTTCTTATATCTATTTTGAAAAATCTCATTGTAAATTTACTTGCTGTAACTCGTTTAAAGCCTTTTTCTGTAACGAAAAAGGAAAATATGCTAGATGCACTTACTGGAAATGTGAAGATATGATTGAAGCTTTAAATTTTCTCCTGGATAGCATATATGTACGTTTCGACGATACAATGTATCGACAGGTACATGTAGTAGGTTTTCCTATGGGCACTAACTGCACCCCTTTAATAGCAGATTTATTCCTGTATTGCTATGAATCTCAGTTTATGACCAAACTCAGTAAAGACACGTCATTGTTACATTTGGTTGATGCATTCAACAATACCTACCGTTATCTTGATGATATTTTTTTGTTAAATAATCCAGAATTCTCTAAATTTACTACCGAAATTTACCCAAAGGAACTTACTTTATATAAATCTATCATAAACAGTAGTAGATGTCCTTTTATAGATTTAGACATTTCAATTTTTAAAGGGAAACTCCATACTAAAATTTACGACAAAAGAAACGATTTTTAATTCCCTATTGTTAATTTTCCCTTTTTAGACGGCGATGTTTCATTTGGCTCCATCATACGGTGTTTATGTATCCCAACTCATTCGTTATGCCTGTGTGTGTAGTGATGTCATAGATTTTAACGAATGTAATCAATGCATCACTGGTAAATCATGTAAATTATTAAGTCAGGGATTTTGTTACCATAAATTGCTTAAAACTTTTACTAAATTCTTTCATAGATACAAAGATTTGATTAGTAAATTCGGCTGTACCTGTAGAAAACTTATTGAAAACATTATTTCACATCCTAAATTTTACAGTAATATTGTACTAAAAGCACGGAGAGAACTTTGTGATCCGTGTAAACTCATCGAACCTTTAAACAAACTTATTAGTAAAGGTTATCTTACCAATTTTGTAATTAGATCTTTGAATATAGTTTACATTGGCACAAATATCGATTTTGTCATCAGCAAATTAAAACAAAATAAATAAATTTGTATTCTTTTCTAACTTTTTTATACTCCTGTTTACGGGACGTTTTACATTATGTTATACTGTTGTCCGTCCGTCATCAACATGTCGGACATTAACTCAAAAAAGCTTTAACCAATATGCATGAAACTTTGGTGAATTATTTATATCGATAGACGTGAGTTCCCTTTCGTTTTTTATAAATTTCAGATTTACCATTTCCGAGTTTTGGGGTTTTATTCATTAAAAGAGGGGGGATTTTCCAGTTTTCTGACAATAACTCAATAATGCTTTCACCAACTTGCAAGGAATTTTAGTGAATTGTTAATATCTATTGACATGAGCTCCCTTTCGATTTTTATAAATTTTAGATTTTACATTTCCGAGTTACAGGGTTTTATTCATAAAAAAAGGGGGATTTTCCAGTTTTCAGACAATAACTAAAAAATGCTTTCAGCAGTTCTCATGAAACTTTGGTGAATTGTTTATATCTGTTGATGTAAGCTCCCTTTAGAATTTTATAAATTATAGATTTTACATCTCTGAGTTATGGGGTTTTATTCATTAAAAAAGGGGGGATTTTCCAGTTTTTGGACAATACCTTAAAAATGCGTTCAGCAGTTCTCATGAAACTTTGATGAATTATTTATAGCTATTGATGTTATCTCTCTATTGATTTTCATAAATTTCAAATATGACATTGAGAAGAAATTGAACTTTATTTGTTTATAGTCTGACAACAGATTTACTAAGTATTGCACAACAGCAAGAAATCTTTAATTGAATTTATATCCAATTTCAAGTTTTTTGACCACATTTATTCAGAAACCTATAATATGTCAAATATTTAATTACAATCCAAATTCAGACCTGTATCAAGCTTTAATATTGTGTCCATTTTTGCCCCAACTGTTCAGGGTTGGACCTCTGCGGGCCAGGTTGGCAAAAAAGCAGTCAATACTAGTATTGACCATGCCGGCGGTAAATACCGGTAAATACTGGCAAATACTGGTCGATTGAAATTTTGAGTGGACATTACTATAAAAACCACTCTCTACCTGGTCAATTACTTTTAATAATGAAATAATGAAAGTGTTAAAGTCATTTTAAATGTTCTCATTTCTAATTTTATTGTAAATTCTTAATAAACAGTGATTTACAATGATTTATTAGTACATAAGATAAAAATGTTTAGTCCCTGGCAAGGAAACTCATCAGGTGGCTTTTGCACTGACTATAGCATTGCAATCATTACATTTTGCACTGATTTGTTGTCAATGGTTGTTGTCTTATATTGTATAGAAGTTCCAAATAGGGTCTTCAGGTTTCAGTTTGGTGCTTAAGGTCAAGATGGTTGTACTATGTGTATGTTAAAATTGATTATGTAAAGGTAAAATTTATACTACATTATGTATTTTTTGGTTTAAAACATAAATTACAGTTCATTCATAAGAGTAAAGGTCCTTGATGTAACCTTCCATTTCCTGCATAAAGATGATTTTTGTCTCATCCTGATCACATTTAATAGACAGGAAATATTTTTGTTTAAGTGAGTCTTCAAATATCACTTTTATTACTTTCAACCATGTTTGTCATCATTTATTGGGGGCTGTTGTTTTTATAGTAATTAAATTATTGTTAAAAATGAATAAAACATATCAAATTCATTCATTTATCATGTTTATATCAGCTGAAACATGCCAAAAGATAAAAGTTTAAATATATCTTACTTTTTATCATTTTTTTTACTTAAATAAATAGTAAAAACCACCATGAAAATTTCAATTGACCAGTATTTCCTAGTATTGACCACTTGTGGACAAAAATGGTGGAGTATTGTCTGGGGCGGTAAATACCGGTAAATACCAGGGGCTGTATTTACCGCCCAACCTTGTCTGCGGGTGTATCCAGCTGCGCTCAGCGAAGCAGTTTATTTTGGGATGTATAAATACACATCCACATTCATTTTGTATATAGAGATTACTGTATCTATATATTACATTATACATATTTATTAACAGATTAATTCCTAATTATCCTACTGCCTATCGATACTTTTATTTTGGCATTGCACAAGTCATGTCTTCTTTGACTGTCCATGACGTTAAAACACTAAATCCCTGGGATGTGTTTTAGTTGATTTTAGTCTCTGATGCATGATCTTTTATTATTAATTGTTTTTGGCTTTTAACTAGCTTTCAGTAACTGCGAGTACTGTAAATCGTACTTTCGTGTTAATTTGACATGTTGATACAATTTGTAATGTATTTTTGTTATTTAATGTTTACTTATTCAGTGTTATATCTAGTCTCCCTAGTCTATACCACCTTTGAAGTGTTAAGCATGTGATAAATTTTCACTTTTGTTCTGGTACTAGGAACAACAAAATTATTTGTTGGAAAAAATTATTTCCGTACTCCATGTATACCTTACAACAAAATTATATTTATTTACCTGTGTACGTTATTTTATTTGGCGGCATTTTGTCCAAGGTTATAGTTGTCCTTCTGATATTGTTTTAAATCTTTCCCCCTTGTTTTATTAATTTTGTATTTACATTGTGTCATAGATCAAATTTATTCGTTCAGTGTATGTTCATTTGTTTTTTGTTAATATGTCTTTTGATTGAGTTAAGCCATTTCAATTGATATTTTATAGTGTGTCTTTCTATGTTGTGATGTTACACTATTGATTCAGGTAGGGTGAAGGTTGGCGCCTATTAAAACGTTTAAACCCGCTGCATTTGTTTGCACCTGTCCTAAGTCAGGAACCTGATGTTCAGTGGTTGTTGTTTGTTGATGTGGTTCATAAGTGTTTCTCAATTCTCGTTTTTTATATACATGATATAGATTAGACCGTTGGTTTTCCTGGTTGAAGGTTTTACACTAGTCATTTTTGGGGCCCTTTATAGCTTGCTTTTCAGTGTGAGCCAAGGTTCCGTGTTGAAGGCTGTACTTTGACCTATAATGGTTTACTTTTACAAATTGTGACTTGGATGGGGAGTTGTCTCATTGGCACTCATACCACATCTTCTTATATCTATGTACAAACACTGTAAGTTTCAGCTAGTTTTACTCTCTATGTTGATTATTATAGGAAATTTATCATTATTACAAAGTTTCAATTATAATTTTCAACAACATATGACATGTATGATATGATAAAATAAAAAAAATATCCCCTATAAATAGAATTAAATGTATATTTTTTCACAGAATTATTATAAACAATGATAAAGAAATTATTGAATCTGGAACAATTTTTAATTCTGGAAATTTGATAAGAAATGTATGATGGAAACTAACTAAGTAGCCATTATAGGGTTAGCCGTGAAAGCATGGCAAATCAGGGTTAGTTAGATCATTCTGAAATATCGGTGAAAGTACACTTACCTGAACCTTAGCCATACCAACATTTGCACTGTTTAGCATAGAAAAAATTGGAATCATAAGGGGCGGCCAAGGTTTTTTTGAAGCTTTTAGGTCCAAAAATTGCTCAAAATCATCTCTTTCACAATATGTCCAAAATGTGCTAGCTTTTGAGCTTACAATGTACTCCTCTATGAAAAGATTAGCTTTACTTAGTATGAAAGGTTTTGAATACACCCATTTAAGAACAAAAATGTGTCTTTTTCATATTTTTTTATAAGTTCAAATTCAAGGCCAAATTTTGGCATATGATAAGACAACCATCTCCTTTGCCAAGTGAATAAGATATACAAAACACAAACTGTACATAGCCCGACAATAACTTATCATATATTTTAGTTCCATTATGTAAGATGACAAATGCATTTACATATTCATTCAACAAACATCTAAATTTCAATGACACATTTTTTTTAACTTTCTTTTTCAATTTTACTTCCATACATGTATACTTTCACTTTCTATTTATACTCACCATGGTAACATTATGAGGTAATTTATGCATACCTGATTTTGTACTTCATGCGCAATTTTCTGTTTTGTTTTTGTCCTGATGACGATGCCCTAGGCATGTCGATCAATAAATTTTTCTGCAACAGTCCCTGAAGTGTTGTTGTTATAAGACTTTCTACAAAACATAATTGTTCAATCATTAGTTAATACATTTCTTTTACAGAATTTTAGTCACAGTGAACCAAGAATGGATTCTAAACAGTGCCATGTATGTGGAGAAGTTTTCATCAATGTTAGCGTTGTCTGGTCACACATAAGTAGTCATTCTAGAAAGGAGATTTACGATTGTCTTGTTGCATTCAAATCATCTTTAGAAATTTTTATGAAACAGTATTTTGCATTGAAAGAGTACGTAGACTCATATTTAATCCATGGAAATTGTAAAGATAATGAAGAAAATGGTGAAAACAATAGTACAGCTAATATGGTAGGCGGGAACTTGCATTCAGATAAACATGTATTTCAAAGAAAAGATCAAAATTCTGATTCAAAAACATCAGAAAGAATAAAAAATAATAGAAAAGAAAGATGCAAAAGCAATGATGAAAAAAAGGAACAACCTGATGATGATGTTGTTGTTTTGACCGAAACTGATTTTAGACATGAGACAGAAATGAATAATAGATTCATTTCTGATAATGATAGGTGCAATAAATTTGAATCAGTAATGGGAGATAACTCTCTTTCAGCATCAAAGGGAGACAACTTAAATCCTAAATCTGGAGAAACATCATTTTCAGAGCTAACAAATTTACAAACAAAATCTGATGTTGAACATAATTTATCAGTGATAGATCTTTCCGAAGTTGAACATGAAGACGAAGACATGGATACCAAGCTTGAGATACCGTATGATCCATTAGAATCTGATATCCAAACCAACACGTATCAAGAGAAAGAAAGTGAGAAAACTACCAAAAACATGTATCTGTATGAAACATCAAATCATAAGGGTGAAAATAATACAGACAACCATAAAAACGTGAGAGATGTAAAACCTGTCCTCACTGTCACAGGAAAAACAATTCAGATGATTGCAAGGGAAATCAGTTTGAACTCGGGAAGAGATAGAATCATGAAAGAAACAACTTGTGAAGAATGCGGTAGGACTTTTGCAACTAAATTTGTCCTGCGTCGACACATGATGTCACATACCGGGGAAAGAACTCATGCATGTCCAACATGTGGTAAAGGGTTCATTGGGAAACAAAACATGATGGTTCATCTTCGTGTTCATACTGGTGAAAAACCTTATAAATGTTCATACTGTGGACAACAGTTTTCACAGTATGGTACATTGTACCGCCATAGGAAACGTCATACCTCTGACATCCGAACTGCAAACCTTACAGCATTTTAGTACTTAGGATAATTATCTTTAATAAATGTTAATTGTTGTGTTTTAATCAATCTTTGTTTCTACAAGCCTAAACCAGGGATCGTGCTGGACTTCACCAATGTCCTAAATTGTGATTTTGTATTTCATCGGACGACAAAATATGGTTGCTGGCGATAAACCTGAGTGAACATAATCTTACAAACACAAATATTGGTTGAATGAAAATATTTCTGATTAATAATTAATTGCTTGGCTGAGTATTTAAAGTTTGGTTAAAACTGTTTTTCATATTCAAAACTGCATAGAAACAAAATATAATCATTGTAAAAGTCATAATAGATCAGGAAGCAAAAAATATCTTTGGAGATGTGGTATTGGCCAGCTGGTTATTATATTTTTTTGTGGTACAAATGTGCATACCTATTTAATTAAAAAAAAACCAAAAAAACTAGAGGCTTTAAAGAGCCTGAGTTGCTCACCTGCATCTTCAACAAAGGCCACTTTTTGTTAAAAATCATGACAGGGCAATTTCTCTTACAGAGTTAAACTGACAATTTCAGTCATGTTGACCTTGTTGTAGATCTTGTCTTGCTATTTAAAGTTTCTATCTACATATGTATCTATTATTCAAGTTACCAGGGTAATAGGCAAAAATTAAAAAAGTGGTAAAATCATCTTTCAAGGGCAATAACTCAATTAACGAGTCGAAATAAGATTTCAGCCATACAGGCTTATTTGTAGGTCTTGTCTTGCTGATCATTTTTGCTATTTAAAGTTTCTATATATCTATCTATAAGTTTCAAGATGATAGACAAACATGCCCCCAAAAATGGTAAAACTTGTCATTTTAGAGCAATAATCAAAAAAAAAAAAGAATCCTGGTGATTTCAGCCATTGACTTTTTTTTGAAGATCTTGTCTTGCTTATCATTTTTCGTAGTTATAATTTCTCTTGATCTATTATAGATTTCAAAATAAACAAGTAAGACAAAAATGAAAAAAAATTGGTAAAACTTGACATTTAAGCGTAATAACTCCTTTAAGAAAACATTTGACAGTTTGATGTAAATGGACAGCAGGTACAATGTAGATCTCAGCATTTTGAACATTTCTACCCCCAGTCAAGATTTTCTCTATTCATAGTGTGTTCAAGATAATAGACACTACTTGCATTTCACCGTTTAACCGTGAGGCCATGTTTGTTTGCAGGCAGGGTCATCAGACTCAATTTTAAAACTACATGTAGATATCTCAATAATGATTGTCGCTAGATTTGGGCCAGTAGTTTGAGAAAAAGACTTTTGTAAGATATTAGGCAAAAATGCAAAAAGAAAATTGGTAAAAATCGTCATTAAAGGACAAAGGAGTCATTTGGCGATGTTGGCTAATTTATAGATCCTGTCTTGCTGGTCATTTTTAAAGTTTCTCTAGTTTTTATAGATTTCAAGATTGGCAAAAATGAAAAAAAAAATATGTAAAATCTGTCATTTAAGGACAATAACTCCTGTAAAAAGTTGTCGGACAGTTTGACGTAGATGGACAATTGGTAGATCTCAACATTCTGAATATTTCTGCCTGTCAGATTTTTTCTATTTATAGCGGTCTTCAAAATAGATTAAGCTTGCATTTCATCCCTATGTTCTCTTTTTAGCTTTGGTGACCATCTTGGTTGCCAGGCGGGGGGATAGCGTCATCGGACACATTTTTAACACTAGATACGTACCCCACTGATGATTGTTGGCATGTTTGTGCAGATTTGGCCCAGTAGTTTCAGAGGAGAAGATTTTAGTAAAAGTTAGGTGGGCTATAAAACCGGTTAGATGCCTTTCCCCTTCACCAGCTTAGGCGACAGGAAATCCTGGTTGGAGAAATTTTATAGTGGTAACACAAAAATTTGCACTCAACTCAAAGCTAGGTTGCAACAAAGTCTTTTGATTAGAAAAATAAAAATGACTTGTCATGCAGAAGGTTTACACTAGGCAATATCCCAAAACATAAAAGGTAAACGACATCAACACATGCACTCAAACAACTTGTGTTTTGCCTCCACGACTGATCAGAAAACTGAGACATTCACAACTGTTACTCACAAACAAAATGTGTTTACGTCAGGGAGCAACCATTTAACTCCAAAAGGGGGGGGGGGGGGTGTTATGGTTTTTTTTGTTGAGTCAGAATTTTTTTTTATTTTTTATTATCAAGGATTTGTATTGTATATTGTCTTGCTATACAAATCCTTGTGCTATAAGGTATGCGAAAATCTGCACACAGAATATTTTTTTGAATATTTTTTTTAGGAAAAAACCATAATCCCCCCCAATTTGAAGTTAAATGGTCGTTCCCTAAATCCCATTACATATCAAAGAAGTGATAATTTACAGAGGTACCAAATACTATACACACCTGTCATATTTCCAAGAGCGCAATGCAATTATTCCTAATGCGTTTTACATACGGTACCATGCAGTTGTGTTCGATATTTTATTTCATGAAGAGTACACAAACTATGAAAAAATGGGTAGCAGTTCCTGTTATTAGAAATGTCAGCGTTGTACAACAGATATATATATATATATATATATGGTCAAAAGCAAAAGTTGACTTTAAATACAGTTGAAAAACAACGTATACGCTTAATGAAAAAGGCAATTTTTTAATGGCTCCTACGTGCAGAAACAATATATATTCTCTATACCTTGTAAAACATGAATTTGATTTTCTGGATCTTTTAAACCTAAATGGATAAGCTTTCGATTAAAAGTAATTCCATTCCTGTATCATCCAATCAGAAGCCGTACAAGATTCCATTATGAGTACCATCTTTAATTGCGCTTTTGACACCTCATAAATTCCCCTACATTTTCACATAACATGTTGTAACAACTTGTTTCATTCTATGTCAATCTTGTGGTTGAACCCCTGAACTTTCCAGGAACTGTTTTTAAAATTAAAATGCCCCAGTTTAAGAACAAGATACAGGATCTGTCGCAAAGTTTATGTTTATTTAACTATTGTCATAAATCAAAAACCTTGTTTGCATCAAGTCGGTGTCCGGGTTATCTAATAAAATTGTTTGTGTTTATGTTCGATCCTAGCACGAATATAATTTATATAAAAAACAAATATTTTTTCCAAGAATGCACTCGATGCTTTTTTGGTCGATTAGATAGACATGGACAACCTTTTTATTCTATTAACTCTTGGTATATAAATGGTTGGAGTCAGCGATTCATGGATTAGTTTTACCATCTGGAAGTAAGGTAAAGTATACGTTTTCGTTCATTAGTTTGTACATAAATCAGGACGTTAGTTTTCTCGTTTGAATAGTTTTACATTTGTTATTTCGGGGCCTTTTATAGCTGACTATGCGGTATGGGCTTTGCTCATTGTTGAAAGCCGTACGGTGACCTATAGTTGTTAATTTCTGTGTCATTTGGTCTCTTGTGGAGAGTTGTCTCATTGGCAATCACACCACATCCTTTTATTTTTATATTAATTTTCTTGTGTCTTCAGTGACGGATCCAGAATTTTTTGTAAAGGGGGGGGGGGCTCCAGTCATGCTTCAGTGATTCCCTATATAATCAACCAAATGTTTCCCACAAAAGGGGGGGCGGGCCCCCCTGGATCCGCCGATAAAGTTAATAGCAACTTCCTTACGTTTTTGCAACTTTATCTTTAAACAACAATTTCATAACCTTAAAGTTTAATTTAACATATAGAGCACTCGGTTATTTGTTGATAGAAAATACAATTCACGAAAAAGTGTCTTGATTGGGGATTTTACATTATTTTCCATTATTCTGTATTCTGTTTATTTCAACGCCCAATTCATCGCTATTCTTTTTTTATTATTTTTTTTTGTCTATTCTCTAAAACAATTTTACCCATTATTCAACACTTTTCGCTCTCTATTCTCTATTCTGTGATACCCAACCAGACCCTAATGAAAGCTTCATCATATGTAGAATTTTTTTATTGTAAATTTCCGCTCTTTAAATATAATTATAGAGTTCATGTTCAAATCATTGTTAAAACTACACCCACTATAACGATACGATGATTGTTATAGAATTAGTGTAGATGTCCAGTGGCAAATATTACATGCGGATCAGAATGATGTGTTATGAATACGAACACTGAATTTCACTAAACTGACAAGCTGATCCGGGTTAACGTATTAGTTCACAAGGTACCAACCCACAGGAAGACATGTCATCTAACCGAGCAAATTATTATGACTCCGGGCCTTCAGTCTTTGCTCTTAGGTACTCATAAATGCCGCGTGCTTAGTGGTGGAGCAGAAAATACTTTATCAAGTCTTAGGTTCGACATGGGATCGAACTCACGACCTCCAGCATTCGAAAGCGAGCTCGCTACTAGGAGACCACCGATGCAGTCATGAAAACGAAAAATAACAGAGCTGTGACTAGTAACGTGAGAAATCGTAAGGCTTTCTTTCCTTATGTTATTCAAGATATATTGAGAAGAATATGGGAAAAAAACTTACATGCACACAACATGTTACAAAGTACGCGTTCACTTATATTTCTTCTGCTTTAATCGTATAATTATTAAACTTTAATAGTAACAACACGACTGTTATTGTATACATGTTTGTACTCGGTTTTGTGTTAGTTCCTGTAAATGTAATAATTATACCACATTTAATTATTATTTTCAAAACTGGAAAACAAGAAGCTAAACATATGGTTTATTGACGAATTTTTCCTCTTTTGCAGACAATGAGGTCTTATTTCCTTTTAATGGTCCTTATTCCGGCGTCAGCGCTCATTGTAGAAGATGTATTTCCACCAATGTTAGAAGAATGCTACGCAGGACAAGTTGATAAAACCACCACGCCGTATGATGTTCAAACGAGCTGTTTAGAAAGTTTTTTGGCACATATGAACAGAAATACTAGTTCTATAGGTTTAGGAAAGGATGCTTATGACTGGCTAGATTCTCTCGGCAGAAAATTACATATTCGGCTGAGACGACAAGCAAAGAGAGGGTACAGCCGGCTGCGCGTAAGAAAAGAAATACGTACATTAAGTGAAGATGAATTGGAAAATTTTATCGACGCAGTAAAAGCCCTGAAAAGTGACACGGTAAGTTTATGTTGGTGTGAGAGGGGGGGGGGGGGGGCTCAATTCTTTATTCTTTAATTTTTTAAGCCACTTTTCTCTATTCTTCATAAATTTAGCCTATTATTCTCCATTTTTTATATTTTAGCTCCCCATTATTCTCTCCTCTATAATTTTTTTTCTCTATTCTTTATTTTTTTTTGGGCCATTTTTCTATTGTATTGGCCTATATATTATTCTCTATTCTGTAAACCACCCACAGACCCTCGTTTATTGGTTAAGAACATATAGTCAGAATCTTCTGTATTATAGATCTTCATCTAATTTGTTTTATAAATACCAAACTAGATAGTGTCTGTTCAAAGAATCCGTTGACAAATTGCATAGACGCCTGTCTAAGGTTGAAAAGGGGATATTGCTTGATTACCAACGAGACAGTTATCCATCAAAGACCAAAGAACCAGGATCACACAACTAACTTTTAACTGTTCTTAAGATGTTTTTTTGGTTATTTTTATCGTTAGGTTACTGTCTAATTACGACATACCCCCACAACTCCTTTTATTAATAGTTTTACGACCAATATTGTCCCTTTGTTAAAAGATACCCTTCAGAGTTTTGAATAATATCAAGAATTTAAAACATAATCATAATAATAATTACAAAATTATGGTCTGACATATTTTTACCAACTTTAAATTCTTTCATAAGCTGTCATCTTCAATTTAGGCATTTCTACTTGAATAATGAATATTGTTTATTCTAATGAACCCTTTTTTCCAGTTCGTGTGCATTCAAGTTTTTCTTGGGATAATTGAAATATTAACCTGTTATAATTTTCACTCTGAATGTAATTTGCTCAATTGCCAATGTCTTATTTTTCAGTCGGTCTCACCAAACAAGTATGATTCGTTTGTAATTATGCATATGGGAGGCGCCGAAAGATCTGCGCATGATGGTCCAAACTTTGTAAGCTGGCATAGATATTTCTGCTTGTTGTAAGTTGCACATTCTTTTTGTATAAAAAGACAGATATGGTTTAAGCTAAATGCACCAAATGTAAAAAAAGAAAAAAGAGCTCAACAAGACAATTTAATATGCAGAAAATATTTTTTTCTTAATTATTAGTAGCCGGCAATATCTTATTACATAAAACTTATGATATAATTTGGTTTTGCGTATACATAACCAATGAATAATTGTGACTTTATATATAACATACTTATTTGTTTCTTTATGTCGAGTAATAATTACCAATCGCTTCAATATCAACATTTTTATAAATCAGATTTGAAAATGCTCTTCGGGAAGTAGATGAAAATAGCAGATCAGTGACTCTTCCATACTGGGATTCAAGAGCAGATTTTTTGATGAAGAATCGAGAGGATTCTATCTTATTTACTGAACTATTTTTGGGGAATCCGAAAGGCGTTGTATATTCAGGTCCATTTGCATTTTGGTCAACTCCAACAAAACCAGTCACTTTGTTAAGACGTGATGTAGGAACATTTGGCACTCCTATTCACCCACAAAGGCTAAAAGAAGTGTTTAAAAAAAGATATCACCGGGAAATCCTAAACCCAACAGTTCCAAAGGACAATTATGCCAATTTGGAATCACACCATGATATGGTTCACGGGTGGGTTGGCGGAATTGACGGCCATATGGGAGACGTAAATTTAAGTCCAGCGGACCCAGTTTTCTGGCTTCACCATTGCTTCGTAGATTACCTTTGGGAAAAATTTAGAGAACGCCAAACACAATTAGGAATAAATTCAGAAACTGACTACCCAGTGGTACCAGCTACTAACCCAGGGCACCTGCCAAATAGACATATGGATAATTTGATACCACCAAAGACGAATATTCAGGGGTATAGTAATTCATTTACAACACGAATTTATAGATATGAAGATGCCCCTACTTGTGGAAACAGATGTGGAGGAGCGTTTAACGGATTTTTGTTCTGTGATATTAGTAAAAATGCATGTGTTTCAAGATCTAGGTATGATTTCATTCGTTTTGGTGGCTTTAGTAAGGTTAAGAATTGGTACCCACCAGGAGAAAAGGGAAAAAGGGTAACCATTCCAACATTTATCAAGAGTATTAAACCTTTGAAACAACCAACAACGAAATCAGAGATATCAAAAGGACTAGGAGCTGTACCCGGCCCTTCGAAACAATCAACAACGAAATCACAGCTATCAAAGGCACTTGGGGCTGTACCAGACATGGTAAAGGGAAGTTTTTCAGCATTCGCAACTAAAGAAAACAGACAATTAACTCAAACTTCAACGGCTCCGAAAATTACAAAAAGATTTAAGATGCACTTCGATAATCCTAGAACAAGGCGTCGCAGATCAGTAGATTACAGTTTAATAGGCAATAATTTAAAAATTGACTTTGATATAAACCTTCGCTTGAGACAAGAGATGAGAAACGTCAGCTCTTTAAGTAGGAATCCATATAAATTCGACAATTTGGCACTGTCTCCAATAGCAATAATAAACAAACACCGAAGAAATCGAAACACAGGACATGATGAAATTAAAAACCAAAGAACATTTAATATTACATTTCAAACTGATGGATTTTCATATAGTGGTAAACATCTGGACTACATTTCTATAGATGAACGCACGCTTATGTCTGAATCTATTGGTCTTATTGCCTTTGAGAAGCCGTTAGCTGGTGAAACAAAAGTATACGTAAGGGCGTACGACTCAAACGGAGAAATGTGTCAACCCAGTTGTCTGGTATCAAAATCTGTGTATAAGGAATGTTCTGGGCTGATAAAGATCACGTCCGATTTTCCTCGTATGTACGTTGATTCATATAATAATGCGTTTCATTCAGAAATAACACCGTTTCTGAGGTTCGTTTGTGTTAATTAGGGTGCGTTTGATTCAGAAATAACACTGTTCGTATGTGTTAAATAATGTCATCTTTTTCTTTAAAAATAGGTCTTTTTATATGTCTCTCCAAACATGGTGTAAAGAAAATAATCAATCTAATAAAATCTAACCTTTTGAAGCAAGCAAATAAAAAAATTACCAGAAGATATGTAGTCGTGTACTTTATTTCTCACTGTGTTTATTCACATATGAAAAAAAAGATGCAGGGTACTCTTCAATAAGACAGCAATCAAACGACAAAAAATGACAAAAACACATCTATACATCAATTTAGAGTCCTCATTAAAAGAGACATTCAAACTCATAAATTGAAAATAAACTGACAACGCCATGGCAAAAAAAAAAAGGATCAAAATACAAAGACCAGTATATAAAACACAACATTGAAACCCAAAGACTGAGCAACTCGAACTCCATCAAAAACTGGGGTGATCTCAGGTGCTCTGGAAGGTTAACCAGATCCTGCTCCACAGACATGTCTATTGAATGTGTCAAGCTGTAAATTGTCGCGACACAATCTATATCTGCTACTAGAAAGAATTATAGAAATAACAAAAACCATTAAGATATGACATACAATAACTACGGTCGAGGTTCTTGACTTTGAACATCCACATGAGAATGTTGAGGGGATAAACTAGAATTGTTAGATCTCAACCCTCTTGATCAGTAGATTAACGAAACGTATATAAAAGAACACGCCATAACATAGGGTGTGGATTGGGGGCGGGTCCTTTATTTCTGTATTTTTTTATTTTTTTAGACCATTTTTCTCTTTCTTTATACTTTTTGCCCATGTTTCTCTATTCTTTATATTCTTATTCCATTGTTCTCGATTCTGTAAACCCACATCCACACCCTCATAACAATTAGAACGGAAAAATCAGTTGACTATAAAATACAGTTATGATAGATTTAAAAAATGCACCGTATTGAGGAATGGTAGCAGTAACTGAAAGACTAAGTTTAGTTTTATCATAAAAAATAAATGATCTTAGATTGCGTTACCAGTGTTCCCTATAATTATCACATAAACGGTACCAATTTGGATGTTAAAATAGAGTGATATCGGATGCGTCGACTGCTTTTGCATGTATCATACGCCATGCAAATCAGTACTCGATCAGTCAAAATGTCAAAAAAGGAGAATAGGATACAATCTGTACATACAAACTTACAGCTATCATCTCGAATATTACAAGTCACAGACTGTTCAGACCGATTCACACTGGAAAAGATGGAAAAGAGAAATGATCCTTTCTTAAACTTTCCTTATAATTACTTTAACGATACCATGACAAAAGGTATCCCTCCTGCATAATAAATTACCAGCACAAAGTTTTAAAATAAATATATACATAACGACATGTTTTTAGTTTCAAACATGGTATTTTTGCACAAGGTGCATCTCAAAAATATATATTCGCAGATATTTAAATATGGAAACAGTTTATACAAATGTTTAATGTATGCAATACACACTGAAATGTTTAGGTAACAATAGTATGAATACAAAATACACATGATAGTAAAATGTGAAACAAACCGTACAGAAGAACACGACCTCCTAGGATGAGCAATTAATTTTAAAAACAATAACATTACTGATAGATGGGGATTGAGCGAAAACACTGAGGCCCCTCAATGGGGTGTCCAAGGAATCACATAATCACAAATGTTTTGCCAATATAATCAAAATTATTAATTATTTTTTGAAACAAGATAATCAAATAATCAAAAATACAGTCCTAGATTATCAAATAATCAAATAATCATGAAATATTTGGTCTGGTAATAAAATAATCACTATAAAACGGCCAAGTAATTACATAATCAAAAACCCCATGAAGAGGCTCAACACCGTCTTTGTTTGAACCTGATAAAATATGTTTAACCTAAAAATCAGTAAAAAACTATTACATTTCTAAAGTTTCCAAACCATAGACCGAAACATGAGCTGACGTTTACCTAAGAACTACCAATACACCTTTTACTCAACAAATACATATATTGTTTAGAACTCTGCAAACTAATCAAACAAGAGGCACAATCCATCGAAAGAAAACGCGCATCAACTCCTTGGGTTTTGAAACCCAAACTTTTAAATTAATAGCATTATTAGCTATATCGTGGCGGCCAGTTTTTATTGGTGGAGGAGGCTGGTGTGCACAGAAAGAACCCCATGTTATTAAATATATTCGAGTGTTCAAATTTAATTAGATGAACATTAATTGGGAAGCTTATGCCTCTTTAAAGCTGAACACATTCTACGTACTTCAATGAACACTTTTCAACGACTCTTTGAAAGGGTCCGTATGGTAAATTAGTTTTCTTGAACATGTTTGAAATATCGCTCCTGTACTGATTGATTGATTGATAGGTGCTTGCTTTACGTCAGGTGGTAATCATTTCATACTCGTTCATAGAATTAATTATTAACAATTAATACAATTGGTAGCTTCTGCAAGATATGATGACAGCTAGGGACGAAGAGTGAGAAATTTGAGCTGCCACTGGAAAACAATGGTATATTGGATAGAGACAGACATTTTGCCCTCGGACAGACCACCTACGGGTCTCTCAAAGAGAAATTGTAATTGTTCGTTAAAATGCTAAAAGCATGGCTATATTATTTCCTCTCCGTTATTCAATGTCTGGTCAAATTTTCCGGCCGTAACCCTGGTCGAAACACTGCAGAACATTTCAATTGAATTTATTTGTTTTTGTGTTAATTATGCATAAACTATTTGTCATTGGACTTTCAGCAATACACAACATTGAATAAACCAACAAAATACAAGGAATCAACCAACAAAATACAATGAATCAACCCTAAAAATGCAAGGAATCAACCACCAAATACAATGAACCAACTAACAAAATACAAGGAATCAACCAACAAAATACAAAAAATCAATAAAAAAAATGCAAGGAATCAGCAACAAATTCAATGAATCAACCAACAAATACAATGAATCAACCAACAAATACAAGAATCAACCAACAAAATACAAGGAATCAACACACAAATACAAGAATCAACCAGCAAAATGCAAGGAATCAAGCAACAAAATACAAGGAAACAAACAATAAATACAATGAATTAACCAACACAATACAAGTAATCAACCAACAAATACAATGAATCAACCAAAAAAATACAAGGAATCAACCAACAAAAATGATGAATCAACCAACAAAATACAAGGAATCAACAAACAAATACAATGAATCAACCAACAAAATACAAGGAATCAACCAACAAATACAAGGAATCAACCAACAAAATGCAAGGAATCAACCATCAAAGTTCAAGGAATCAACCAACGAATACAAAGAATCAACCAACAAAATACAAGAAATCAACAAATAAAATACAAGGAATCAATAATAAAATACAAGAAATCAACCAACAAATACAAGGAATCAATCAACGAATACAAGGAATCAACCAACAAAATACAAGGAATCAACCAACGAAAACAAGGAATCAACCAATAAATACAAGGAATCAACCAACAAATACAAGGAATCAACCATCAAAATTCAAGGAATCAACCAACGAATACTTAGAATCAACCAACAAATACAATGAATCAACCAACAAAATACAAGAAATCAACCAACAAAATACAAGGAATCAACCAATAAAATACAAGAAATCAACCAACAAATACAAGGAATTAACCAACGAATACAAGAAATCAACCAGCAGAATACAAGGAATCAACCAATAAAATACAAGAAATCAACCAACAAATACAAAGAATCAACCAACAAATACAAGGAATCAACCAATAAAATACAAGAAATCAACCAACAAATAAAAGGAATCAACCAATAAAATACAAGAAATCAACCAACAAATACAAGGAATCAACCAACGAATACAAGAAATCAACCAACAAAATACAAGGAATCAACCAATAAAATACAAGAAATCAACCAACAAATACAAGGAATCAACCAACGAATACAAGGAATCAACCAACAAAATACAAGGAATCAACCAACGAATACAAAGAATCAACCAACAAATACAATGAACCAACCAACAGATACAAGGAATCAACAAACAAAATGCAAGGAATCAACCAACAAAATACAATGAACCAACCAACAAAGCTTCAACTATTTATATTGAAAAGACTAAGTAATGCTTTTGAAACGTATATACTTTGTAAATTATACTGAAGAAAGAATATACATGGAATAAATATGTAAATATAATTTGGCACAATACAATATCACAGTTAATTTAGATTGTAGACTTTAGACATATAGGTTACGCCAGTCTCTTGAATAAAATATTCAAAACTTTAGTCGAAAGATATATTTCAATTAACACATATGTAAATTAACATTAAAAAAAGTTGGAAATCTGAGACAAATGACTGTAATGTGGGAATACTGCAAATTTAGAAATTGGTGCGTGCATTTATAATTGCGAATTTTGAAGAATAGACAAAAATGCGAGATTAATTATTGCGATCTCAGTAAAATCTGCATACAGATTTCAGAATTCAAGTTCTTATTACTGTTATACCCACCAGTCGCATTATTCGCAATAATAAAACACTCGCAATTATTTCTTAATTTACAGTAGTTCAATACTACTGCTGTGTTTCAAAAAGTAAGCTTAAAATTGGCATTAAACATTATCACATTAATTACTATTACAGTTTATGTCAGCTTATATACGACAAGGAATTTTTTTATTCAATCATTCTTCAATGAGATAATCCTTGTTTTTTATAAATCATTTCAGCGTTGAATTTTTCTTTCCTTGTAGTATCTGGGATGGCTTTAGATCTATATAATGCATCTTTCGACTTAATTTGGTGCATGCGCAAAACAAATGCGCTAATTAATACAATTATAACAACTGTTACGCAAACTGTCAATATAATAACGATTGTGAAGATATCTGTACCCTGAAAGACAAAAAATGTAAATCATAGGTAATGGTGGAATACATCTGTAAATGAAGTAGAAAACATGATTGCTTGAAGTTTTCATGTCCAGCAGCAAAACCGTTTAAACCAGATAAAACACTCGGATGTATGGAATGTACGCATGTACATCTATGTAAAGGGCTTGCTCTCCATATGTAAAATCAATTTATAATTGAGACAAAAATAACGTTCCTTTGGAATTTCAACTAAAGATGAAGAACTGGATCGTCCATCACTGTATTGGATACCTAAACTACATAAGTGTCCTTACAAACAACGGTATATTGCTGGGTCTTCCAAGTGCTCCACGAAAACTCTTTCTAAATTATTAACATCAATTTTATCAGCAATAAAATCCGGTCTTCAAAGTTATTGTAAAACTACCTATTCAAGAGGTGGCGTGAATCAGATGTGGATCCTAAAAAAATTCCAAAGATCTTTTAGAGTACATACAATCTAAGACTCTTTCATCTTGCAATAGTATTGAAACATTTGACTTTTCTACACTTTACACAAGTATTCCCAATTCCAAACTAAAAGACAAATTGAAAGAGTTGGTCCTGCTTTGTTTCATAAAAAAGAATGGCCAACGTAGATACAAGTATCTGGTCTTAGGGAGGGATAAATCCTGCTTTGTTAAAAATTACTCTGATTCTAAAAAAAAAAATTCTTTGAAACTGACATTATCAAGATGCTTGATTTCTTGATTGACAACATATTTGTTACGTTTGGGGGACGTGTTTTTCAACAAACAATCGGCATTCCCATAGGAACCAACTGTGCCCCTCTTCTTGCCGACTTGTTCCTTTATTCATATGAGGCTGACTTCATACAGGAAATTCTGAGGAAGAAAGAAAAGAAGTTAGCAGTATCCTTTAACTTTACTTTCCGCTACATAGATGATGTTATCTCACTAAATAATTAAAAAATTGGTGACTATGTTGAACGCATCTATCCCATCGATCTTGAGATAAAGGATACAACAGATACCGTTAAGTCTGCCTCATATCTTGACTTACATCTAGAAATTGACATTGAGGGTCGGTTGAAAACAAAGCTTTATGACAAAAGGGATGATTTCAGTTTCCCCTTTTTGAATTTGCCTTGGAGTTCGGTATTTTTGTTCTACTCTTTTACGATGCAAAGGATATAAGATCCTTTGTTCGATCGGAAAATATTCACCCGGGACACCCAAAAAGAGCCTCGTTAAGCGGTTTTAACTGGCGGAGTGAACAAGTTAAGATGAACCCTTGCAGATCTGAGAGAAGCAATTAAAAGAAACTTTTATGAAGGTTAGAAAGTCCACGAAGACAAAATACACCATGTCTGCAAGATAAAAAAAAACATACCAAACACTACACTGAAAACTTGAAATTTAACAAGCAATATGTAATTCATTACAAATTCCGGAACTTAAATGCAAGCCATCAACTAGCTGAGAGCATACTTGTAAAAAATCTACTTATAAGTCACATTTGCTTCTGTCATCTACGGGGTTAAAGTCGAATGTGTTGTCCTGGGTATGCATACGCAAGAAATAATTTTTACTTGACGTTAGGCAAGCTTCGATCAATAGCCCTTGATGATGTCATAAATGGGTAATAACAGGTCGATATAGTGTCTTCGACTTTTTGTCATTGTTATGATTGATAGTACAAGAAAGTAAAACAGCTGAAATGTGTGGCATTCAATTTTTTTCTGTATCAACAAGGAAATATTCAACTACGAGGTAGGATTATCGGTTTGTGATGTTATTTATACAATCAAAGTTTGTCAATAAAAGTCGTCAAACATAACCGTTTTATAGTTAAGTACGCCAAATGGTTGCAAAAACTCAACAAAGATACCAGGTTTATAGTTCAGTAAGCATGTTATGACACTGCTGATATTTATCAAATACCTTTTTAATGTGCTAGGGAATATCGAGCAGGTCAAATGTTTATATATCAATACTTACCGATGACCCAGAAGGTTCAGACACAACTTCTACTGACTGAACTGACTGTCCATCACCAAAAGATAGATCACACTGAGATATAAAACTATCAACATCGATCACATTTATGTATAACGATGGCGTACAACAGTCACCACTGCAAACAAATAAGTATATGAGCTCATATGTTCTATGTTTAGGCATCATTGCTCTTGTCCTATAAGCTTTTATGCTTTGAGGCGTTTTATATAATTTGCCTTCGAAATTTTAAACTCCAGTACATCTGATGAAAGGTCATTCAAGAAACATGTGTCGTGAGGACAGCAATGGATATCCTACATTTGTACTTAACATTTGTGGTAGTTGTTCGAAAAGAACACTAAAAAAGATTGATTGATTGACTGTTGGTGTTGAACGACACTTTCGGACCTCCTGGCTATATCGTGGCTGCCAAATTGTATTGGTGGTGAAAGCAGGAGTACACGAGAAAAAAACAAACCTTCGGTGGTTCTATTGGCAATCCTAACTCACAAACTCAATTTTGATAGGTTAGTGGTCGCTCTACATTAACTACGTATAGTGGAAGGTGTTTTAATTTCAAAATACACGATATTGTCATTTAATTTCAAAATACACGATATTGTCATTTATATTCAATATACATTTTGCTTATTTCTTTTTTTTTTGCCGAGACGATGAGTAAACTGTATTTCCTAATCAGCAGACTGTTTTTTGTGGCATGCAGTCAAGATTATCTTTCTTGCAAACCATATCTTGTGGACTGAAAAAAGTCAAGATCACAATACAAATCTTTGTTAAGAATGTTGATAAAGTTGGAGACCATAAAGGGTGAATCTAATATATAGTGACAATGGAATACGATGTGTGTGTTAATTTGCTTTGACCATTTCTTTAAGTTTTATTTCAATCAGAAATTTTAACGCTGAATTTTAAGTTATCGAGTTTGTGTAACTCGGTGCATAACCAGATAGGAAAGGATGGTTGCACAAACATGAAAACTTACATATTAATAAACCCCTTTTCTCATACGATTGTCACGCATGTTTATAAAAACCCTTTCTCATAGGAGGCATGCACTTACCTGATGTTAACAGCTAATGGTCCAGTAGATAATCCTGTTATATTAACATGAGTCATTTTAACGGACATTCCAACTGTGGATGATATACTTTCTAATAGTGTCCCTGAAAATGTCACTTCAGCTAAAGCGGTCCATGTATATAACGAACAATTAGCTGTATTTAGCGACGATATGCCACATATTCCATCCATATGTACAACAGTACAATCAGGTCTCTCAACATCTGTTACCTAATACAAAGGAATATTTAAAGAAATATATAAAAAGTGATAAACAAACATGCTTTGTTGAAGAATGTTGTGATAAAGTTCTCAAACTTACAATGTAATATGCAGTGATTTTTATCCTGTTGCCATGACATTGTTTTGTGTCGATATCTGGGTCCTGAAATGTCCGTAACTAGACCAATAGGAGTAAAAGGCTTCATGATTTTCTGTGAGTGTTGAACTCATTTGATGTAGAGTATATTCATGGGATATTGCTTCAGGCGAATGTCAGTCTTGAGAATAGTTCACATTATTATATTCCTTTTAAAAATTTTAGTATTGGAAAACAAAATTTATAAAATGAAAGGATAGACCAGTATATATTTATCATATCAGACCAAAACTTGTCGATTATAAGATTTATATTGTTCGTTAATATGGGTCATATCAAGCATTCGGACTACATATGTATAATGAATATAAGAAAAGGAAATACCAAATAAATTAAACATTACAACCGACTGAAAAAACCTAGAAACAGAGAAAAAAGGAATAACTAGCAAAGCCAAACATCACCGAAAAACAGAAAGTCCCGAAAGCCGATTTTGGTAAAAGCAAGAAATATTGTGGTTTAAGTGGTTTAATGTGCGCACAAACCACCCCTTTTCCCATCTAAACCATAGGTCGTAAATGTAAAAACCAAATAAAAAGTACACATTCCAGTTACTTACACAAAACTACTTAGTTATACTCAATACTAAAACAATGATATAAACTGATAAAGACAGCACACAATATGGAATGAAGGGTTATTTGGTATTGAATTGTTGGTTGAATACTGTCGTTGAAGGAAAATATGTATACAAGTTTGTGTTTGTTAAGGGTAAAAGGTAACCAGGTTTGTCAGGGTAATTAGGTGTACAAATGTGACAAGGTAAATAGGTAAACAAGTGTGTCAGGGTTATAAAATATACAGGTTTATTAGTTATATATGGGTACAAATGTATACAAGTGTGTCAAAATAAAGAGGTATACAAGTGTGTCAGAATAAAGAGGTATACAAGTGTGTCAGAATAAAGAGGTATACAAGTGTGTCAGAAAAAAGAGGTATACAAGTGCGTCAGAATAAAGAGGTATACAAGGGTGTCAAAATAAAGAGGTATGCAAGAGGTCAGAATAAAGAGGTATACAAGTGTGTCAGACTAAATAGGAATACAAGTGTGTCAAAATAAATAGGCATACAAGTGTGTCAGACTAAAGAGGTATATAAGTGTGTCAGACTAAAGAGGTATACAAGGGTGTAAGTATAAAGAGGTATACAAGTGTGTCAGAATGAAGAGGTATACACGTGTGTCAGAATAAAGAGGTATACAAGTGTGTCAGAATAAAGAGGTATACAAGTGTATCAGAATAAAGCGGTATACAAGTTTGTCAGAATAAAGAGGTATACAAGTGTGTAAGAATAAAGAGGTATACAAGTGTGTAAGAATAAAGAGGTATACAAATGTGTCAGAATTAAGAGGTATACAAGTGTGTCAGAATAAAGAGGTATACAAGGGTGTCAGACTAAATAGGTATACAGGTTAAAAGAGCAAATGGTTATACAAGTGTATGAGGGTTATTAAGTACACAAGTATGTCAAGTTAACAAAGTATACATATGTCAGGGTAAAATAAGAAAAGATAAACGGAGAGGTTTACTTCCTGTCCGCTTGTAAAATTTCAGCCAATAAATATGCTAGAATAGTAGCATATCTCAGCATCATATCACTAAAAATGTACATAAAGAACCAGACCTGTGACAACGTTACACTAGGAAAAACATGGAACATTTTATTAATCTGGTAAATTTCTTTGTTTTACGTAGTTTTTGAGAACATTATTACAATAAAGAAATTATGAGCTCTATATTATGGTATATATACAACCAACACTATACCCTATACCATGAGTGGATAATAAAACCACTGGCGATATACCAACATAAAATAAGAAAAAGTATTTCAAGGACTAAACTACAGTTATGAATAACTAACCCTCTCAACGTATTAATATTGTTCATATGTCTTATGTTAACACTAGCTTCATTAGCCTAATTCCTGTGTTTGTTCATAATAAAATGCATTCAATTATTACTGTTTTCAGTCGTTAATAGTATCGGAATTGTTGATGTAATAATTCATTTAAGTTATTAAATTATTTATATGGCGTTGTCAGTTTATTTTCGACTTTTGAGTTTTAATATCCTTTTGGTATATTTCGCCTCTCTTTTATATACAAGTCTACTTTCGAGAAAGCTATTGAAAAAAAACATCAACAATATTATCCTTAACCATATTGAACATACCACAAGTTTCCTGCTTATACTCTGTTGAACATCTCCAGTTGATACAATTGAAACTGATATCGTATACGAGCTGAAATAAAATTTGAAATTGTAGGGAAAAGATGTATAAAAATAGAGAAGATGTGGTATGATTAACAAGGAAGAGACCAAATGTCATAGAAGCTAACAACTTTAGGTCACCGAACCTCCTTTAACATGAGCAAAACCGCATAGTCAGCTATAAAAGTCACCGAAATGAGAAACGTAAAACAATTCAAACGAAAAATGTCTTTTCTTTTTTTTTTCTGTGAGAAAGATGCGCAGAGTCATATTTAAGATATTACCAAACACCTTGACTAAAATAAATTTGGCTTGTTGAATTTTCATAAATTTTGACAAAATATTTACTTTGACCCTTAGACCAAAATATACAAATTTCCAAAAACTTGAACCACCCTTTTTTTCGAAAAATTTAGTTAGTTATATAGCAGTTTGACAAACACTTACTTTGATCATTGAGAAGCTTAATATTTCTTCAACCATAGAACGTGATTAAAACGTTCAGCTGAATTTAACAGAGTTATCTTCCTGAAGTGTTATGTACACCTTAATATAAATCAACATTAATTTTTCGAGATCTTTACTTTGAATAAACTACCATAAATCATGGGATTTGTTTTTTATTATGCCGTTAATATGATCGGATCGTCATGACAGACTCAAAATCATGTCTGTAATATTTCATTTGAATTTTTGAGATTAATATGAACTTATTTTCAAATAGACGCTTTTTATTTAACAAATAAAACATACAATATAACAGAGGGCGTGGTAGGTTTAACAGCAAAGGTTCCATTTGTACCATCCTTAGGATGCAGAGTATACTGTACAACTGTGATTCCTTGGGTAAATGAATGGTCGTCTGATATTAACACTTGATACGTCTCTGTCACAGTACCGCGATTTATAACTTCATAACCAATTAGCCTTTCTTTTCCAATTATAATATCATCTGTAAAAAAATATTGACGCTCTATGATATTCTTTGCAGGAATATAAACACATTTAACTTGATAGTTAGCAACTGGTGTGTATAATACGTTGACAGTACGAGAAGTCTATGAAATTAGAATGAAAATAAAGAAGGACTAATAAGAGTGGTGACGTAAAAACCGTCCGTCCCTACATCATTGATTTATTACTTTCAAATCATAAATATTTCATTTTTTTCTCTTTGTCATTTTATTCTGATAACTTGCATGTCTGTCCTTTTTTGTGTATGTTTATAATCACTTCGCATGTTGTTAATTTATATAGAAGAAGGAAGTCAATTTAAAAGCTCAAGTATAGAGTGTAACATATTTCTGTAAAGAAAACGAAAATTGACCAATTTATTTGGAATGACATCCTTTCCTCCGACTAGTGATAATCGAATAATATATTTGCGTAAGTATTTGATATTGATATTTATATTGTGTTCTGTATACACAATATGACTAAAAAACTTGCCAGGACTAGCAAATTCATATTTCTGCTCACACATGTTCCACCTTTGAACATAAACTACACTGGTAAACTTAACACATCACTTGGCTAAAAAAACAAAGCAGTGAGTATATCATTAGATATGTTAGGTAAAAGTTTCCGTCCTATCCGAAAACATATTCTGACTCCGAGTCGACCAACATGTTCCAACACGGAAGTCTTTGATTTGGCCAGATCATGGATCGAAACAAAGATCTCCCACACCTAGGCGAGAACAATATCACGCAAGAAGCACACAATGACTTTAAAAAAGAGGCAGAATACACTACAGGGAAAATGTAAGAGAATAACCGACAACACAAAGGAAAAAACAAAAAAAACGAAAAAAATGACAAACAACTGTTCTAAAAACACTACGTAGGAAACTGTAGAGTGAGAAACACGAACCCCTCCAAAGCATTATTGATAATCTCCCGTACTCTGAAAGATCCTTCTCCTGTGGATTTAAATAAAACAGAACTTATTGAGAAGGTAAGGATACAGTATACATTTTTGTATATATCGTCAACTTTATATGTTTTCCTTAGGCAAACTTCAAAAATCATATGGGCAAAAAAACAATCAGGAGATGGTTGTTATTATTAGGTACAATCAAAATAAAAATGCCTTTACTGGTTTTGTAAGAAATGAAAAGAACATGCATGCGGTCGTCTACTTTTACGGATTTACCTTCATCAGGAACACTCAAAGCCGATTATTTGAAAGTCTAGGATGTATAGGAACCGATGAAAAGGAAGAGTTATATGATCAAATAGCCAAAACCTAAGGCTAACCGAAGTACTGACTACTGATTTGATGATATCATCTGGAACTGAAATTCCACTAAAGTTGTCATTATTTGTAAGACCTATGTACTGATCTTTTCATCTAATAAAAACGAAATAAAAATATAGGGTGTATTTTTAAACTCCAGCCGGACGTCATTATTCAAATTTGTTTGTTGAGACGCCCCCGCCACTCCCCCCTCTGAACCTGATATACCTACCACTTGATGCTGTAATAGTTAGTTCAACGCTTGCAGGTTTGTGTAGTTCCGAGAGCTTCCTTGTGAATGGTCTTCCACTATCGTCGTTTCCATGTAGTTTAACTTGGAATTTCTGAAATGAATAGGATCTATTTTATGAAATCTCAAAAAGAAATACTGTGAACTATTGTTCCCTTATGGTAACTTGTTCTTTACGGTTATCAGAATATTGCTGCTGATTAATGAATTTGACAAAGCATCACACAGTATAACGTGGGTCTCATTTGGGTCTAAGCGTGATTCGGGATTGGCTAATATTTTATAAGCGTGATACGTGATACGTAAAAGTCAAATTATTAAGCGTGAAAACGGGAAACGCAGTCGGGCGAGACACGGGATATTACAAGCGTTACCATTAAAATGATAAGCGGGATACGGGAATCTGACAAAACAATAAGCAGGATCAGCAGGATTAGACCGCCCCCCTCCCCGGCCCTTTCCAGTGAGACCCCTATAACATGACGCTTTATACCAATTTTGAGGCGGTTTTATTCGTTGTACTAAAAAAAATGCTCCCAAATTTCCATGTGGGTGACGGACATAGAATGAGCATTAAACCCCCTCCTTCGTAGCAGGATATACGATTAATGAAATTAACAGTATCAATTGTACTGCACCAGTGCACAATTTGACAATTAATGTCTCTCAAATGATGCTCGATGTGAATATATTTAAAAAACAAACACCTTAAACAAACTATGAAGAGCTGATCAAATTACTAAAGACTTAGAGTAAAGCCAAACATGAACAAGGAATCAGAGCAATCCATGTGAAGGCATTGTTTGGAGTTTTTTTAACTTTGTATTTATTACCAGTTTCAATACATCGTTCATTCTTATAAAATTCAATTCCTAAAAAAAAACATGGAGAAATACTAGCACATCCTCATTTATACAGAGATGTTGTTTACCGAGCCCGGAAATTTAGAAACGATCCGGGTGAACTTATCAATCCTTTAAATAAACTTGTTACCAATTACACGCTGTAATTAGATCTTTGAATATATCGTTCTGCTCTTTGGTCGGGTTATTGTCTCTTTGACACATTCCCCATTTCCAATTTCAATTTTATATGCACATTCATTGAGGGGGGTAGGAGGGGTCCTGATCCCAAAATCCCGGGCTTAAAAACATGGAATCCCGAGGTCCCGAATTTAAAAAATTTAAATCCCTCCATCCCGAAATTCGAAAAAAGAATTGCCGGATCCCGAAAGGATCAATCCCGGAGTCCCGATAAATATCGTTTCTTGTTTTGTATGGGTTGATCTTGTGTAGTGCCGTTGCATCACTATCCCAGGTTAGGGGAGGGTTGGCGCCAACCAACAAATTTAACCCCGCCACATTCTGTATGTGCCTGTCCCAAGTCAGGAGTCTGTAATGCAGTGGTTGACGTTTTGTTGCTGTGTTCCATATTTGTATTTCGTTCATTATTTTATATATACATTAGGCCGTTAGTTTTCTCGTTTGAATTGTTTCACATGTGTCATTTTGGGGCCTTTTACAGCAGACTATCCGGTATGGGCTTTGCCCATTGTTTAAGGCCGTAAGTTGACCTATAGTTGTTAATTTCTGTGTCATTTGGTCCCAATGGAAATTATACCACATCGTTTTTTTATATAAAAATATTGTGGTTATATTTTTTAATTTTTAATAATTATGTAATATTCGTTATTTCAAAATAAACTTACAACATATGGCGTTCTAAACGTTGCAGCACACAACGTATCGAGATCTCGTTGCAACTGTGAAGCCTCGTGTGACGACATAATATTTCCGATACTATCGGTCAATGCAATGGTGTGACATGTGCCATTTGATCCAAAGCTATACACAGACAAAGCAACAGTATAGTTGGTATCTGTCAAACAATGGTAAATATTAGAAATTTATATATACAAAAAGAAAATATAGCAAAACAATCATCCAAAAGCGGCAATTAATTCATCACTTTACAGCCATTCGAAAGTTTGCGACGGAAAGTACAAACTACACATACCACATATTGTGTATTATCGGCTTTGGTTGTATTTTATTAACCAAAAACTTTTTGATTGGTAAAACAATTATTTAGTAAAATGATAACTAATATGGTAGACATGACTATTTGAAAAAATAGTTACCCGAAATTGGACTGCCTTTCAGAGAAAACATCTCACCAGTCTTTGAATGTTCCAAAAGTTCACCGTCAACCTTGATAGAACTCTGTGCTGTAATATTCACCTTCCAGTCGTTGATTACATTCCTTTTTAGTTTCATGATACTACTTGGAGGATGCTAAAAATATAATGAATTTTTTTATTGCCGGAGATAAAGTAAAGTTCTTTTAAATAGTTATGCTCAACCAAATATGTTTATAAAAGCTGACGTGTTATCTTATTGTTCTATAAAAAAAATCGTTTCCTCTCACTATTACATATCGTGTACTTGCCAAAATAACATGCATATATCAATCTAAGTTCACACGACCGTGTAGACTGTTTTAAAACCAAAAGGGAAAAACAATAGTTTTCGCGATCGAAAGGTTTCATAGAAACTGAAAATTTAAGCCAAACAAAAATCCCAGCAAACACAGAATGAATTCAGTTGCAAGATACTGAATAACATTACGTGTACTAGTAGTATTTTAAGTGTGCTATACATCCTGCATTAGAGATGGGCAAGTAAGAACACGACCGCGTTAGAACACGACCGTGTATTCTGTTTTACAAGAAACAAAAACAGTAGTCCTCGAAAATGTTCACAGAAAACTGAAATATTAAGCAAAACGAATCCCAGCAAAAACAAATTGAATTCAGCTGCAAGATGATGAATAGAAAAATGTATGGTAGTAATTTTAGTAGGTTTTACATCTCAATATTGACAATTCAGTTCCCAAATGTAAAGTTTTTGCATTGCATTAACTTTGTTATATTTCGTTCGAATTGACATTGTTAGATATTGTCAAAAAATGTTATTGTCATGTTCATTCATAGATCGAGATAATACCAGATAGTTCAATTCTACCAGAACAAATTGTTGTTCACGTGTTCGAGTAATTCAGTTAATATTTGTAGCTGTATTGTTATGGCCTCTGATCTGTAAATTGTACTTACGACCAGATTTAGAATAGACCCATAACGCATCAGAGTTAATTGTATATACGTTTGCCTCTAAATGAGTACGTATCATGATGTTTTAATGTATTTTGTAAAAACATGTTCTTTGGGTTGCTATTTCCGTAACATTTACTCTCTATTTTTTACTTTGAGTTTTATACGTTATTGATATAACAGGGTATGGAATATACAAACATTTGGTATTATACCTGGATTGATATAATGGTTTCGCCTGATGAGGTATATATTCGTGTTGACTTTCCAGATGTGTATGTCTCCAATGTACCTATTATAGAATTCAAAATTAAACACAGGTTAGAGACATGAATGACGTAAAGAATGTAAATATGAGTAGCTAATTATGTCATCAAAGTTTTAGCAAAAGTGGGATCCTGTGTCCTCTTAAATTCATCAGCAGGTTTTTCCGCTCTATGAATCATCTCAATAGATTTCGTGTAGAGGTACCATTGGATATACTTAAAACAAATTTGATTTGCAGTTAAGCAAGCAACTAATTATAAATATCATTTACCTACTGAATTTGCAGTTGTATCTTTTGGATGTGTGTGTCGTTTACTTCGAATTACTTAATCATTGAGATAAAGGGAAGATACCAAGGGAAAGACAACAACAGTAAACATACCAAATAATGATAAACAAACGACTAAAAGACAACCAACAGCTCACAAAACGTTACACAGAAAACTGCAAATTTAACAACCAAATACCGGGGACGCACTCGTTGACTCCGGGAGAGAAGTTTTGGGATTATTGCGCTGTTGTACCTTTTGCCATAATTGTTAATTATGCTTCTTGGATCATTTTGCAATTGTACTGTTGGGATTGTGCAGCTTTTTTATACGTTACGGCAAAAGTCACACCATAATCATGCAACATTAAAAGATATGAAGATAAAAATATAATTGACTTGAAGATAGAGAACAAATATTTAATGTGTTATTTGTATGAATGATAAACAATGTCATGAACATCAGATGTTACTCGGAAACAGTTATTGTTTAATAGTATGTAAATTTGAAATTCGAAACACACTCGTTGCATTGACTAGTAGAGTATATTTTAGCTGTTGAATTTTATTCATTTTATTTAAGTGTCAATTCTTTTCATCTGAAACCTTCTACTCATCTTCTTTAGCCATGGGTTACGTTCTGACCCGATTCTCTTCACGCGTCATAACCCAAAAACATAGGGCGATCTTCAGTGACACATTTGAAGTTCTTAATCGTCTAATTAAGTTCTTGTGTGCTATCCTCGTGCATATGTTGGAATGTCAACGTATTTATATGCGGTTTTTGCTTTACAAAATTTGTAAACATGATCAATCATTGTACACAATTTTTTTTACACCTCTAAGCACAAGTGTTGTCATTGGTCATTTAGATTTAATCGGAGAGGGCGTGACTTCTATCTGTCGATATATGACACTACGCTGTTTACACGAATACTATCTTAATCTGCCACGGCTGAAGAAAAGAAGTCTGGTCGTAACTCTTGGCTATCGAAGTTGTCTTCTACTAAACGGTCATGGTATTAATTTAAGTCTGCCACTCAAAACACAATTTGTACTTCTATCTTGAAATATAGCACAATTAATTTCGAATGGTAAATACAAGTTCACTTAAACTTACTTCAAATATTACATACCATTAGCATAATATATATCTACATCTGTTTCTGCAGATGACCCAGTAACACTTATCTTGAGCACTGTGATCGTACTATCAACGGTAATATTTTGGTCATCAGTTTCAGCGGCCGACCAGTCAAACGAGTCTATTGTTATTTCACTAGACGGAAATGTTTCCTACAATATTAGAGAAAATTTTAATTATTTTCCAATGAATAACATATTCTAGAATTAAAGTTTCCAGAATTTTGTTCTTACTTAAACTCTTTCGTTCTTTTTCGTTACATTAAACTTTGATATCATTAGAAACACTACATGGAATGGATACATATATTCTTTATCCATACAAATGTTCTTGAGTTCTTACCACTGAATTTATAGTGTTAGTTGTGACTTTGTTCGAAATAACTAAAAAGAATTAGATTTTACCCCTATTACAGTGTCTAGGACATTTCCAATGTTTTCTTTGTCTGTTTCATGTACACTTCCACCTGTTGCTTCAGCTATTTGTTGGAAAAATGACAATGAAGATGCAGACCGTTCAGGACGACCTAAAATATCAAAGATAAAAGCAGACTTAACACACTCGCAGTTATGTCAAAGGTCAAATTAAAATTGATAGATTTATTGATGACAGCTGTTAATGACATGAAATATCATGACACGTCATTTTTTGTAAATTTGCTGTTCATAAAACTTAAGAAGATAATTCGAAAAACTTAGGTTTTAAACACTCGGGCATAGATAGGCTAAGCTTAAACCAGATTTGGCAAAACTGTTTTCCTCTTGTTTTAAATGCTCTTCAGATGTCTTAATGATTTTTGCCTTCTATTTGTTTTCATTTGAACGCGACTGATGAGTCATGTGAAGATAAAACTCGCGACTGATGAGTTTGTTTTTTTTTTGTGCAAAGACAAACATTAAGTGTATAGTTTGTTCTTATGTTCTACTGTTACACCAATGTTCCAGATTAGAGGAGGGTTGGCGCCTTCAAACTAGCTTAACACTGTCACATTATGTAGGTGCCTGTCCCAATTTAGGATCTTGTAAATCAATGGTTGTCGTTTTTTGCTGTATATCATATTTTTTTCGTTCATTATTTTGTACATTAATCTGGCTGGTTATTTTCTCGTTTTAATTGTTTTACATCTGTTATTTTGGGGCCTGTTAAAGCTATGCGGTATGGGGTTTACTGTTGAAGGCCGTACAATAAACTATTGTTGTTAATTTCTATGTCAGTTGGTCTTTTGTGGAGAATTGTCTCATTGGCAATCACAACGCAGCTTCTTAATTTCATATTGCTTAAGTATTCAGAAAGATATCATGAATTCTGCTTAGTTAAGTTTTATGCCAGTCGATAAGCCTAGTCGAAAAACCTGAAAACAAATATATTTGATTTGAACATTTATATGCTGTATGCAATGACTCTGAAATGTTTAAAGTTGTTAATTGAATGTCACAGATATGCATGACAATAATAAATACCTTTGATTGTTTTAAAATAACGGAATGAAGTGATGGTTCCCCCAGTTTTATTTGTATCATAAATATACCAACCTAATGCTGATCGTTTTCTGCGAGTACACTGACTTGTTAATAATGACGAAACTGAGATATTCTTTACTTTGGCTGCCATTATGACTTCTTGAATGCGGTCATCATCTTTTGCATCTGCATCCGTAAACACAAATAGAGGCGAGTTATCTCTCATCAATTCAATTGCTGTGCAAATGCAAAGATACCATTATTCTCACGTATGAGATATCACAAACCCAAATACACATTTTACAAATTTAGAATTACTTAATTATCATTACGAAGTAATTGACAGAAAAAATTTGCAAAATGTATGCATTTGGCATATATTACACGTCAATTTGTACAAGCAAATATATAGTACATATTAAAAAAAAATTCATGTTCAGAAGTGAATAACCAGATAGTGAAACTGGAGAAATAATGTTGTAAAGTCCGGTGGGCACGATATAAATCATTAAGCTTTGGTCACTCAGAACACATAAAAAATACACAGAACACACTGAACATGCTGAAATGAAAATCATTTATCAACTTCACCAAAGAACAGATAACAAGGGCAATTTCAGTCAATATCAATGACAACTGCTAGATACAGTACTGTTATATATAAGGTTCTATATTGTCCCTCCATTTTGCGATTTAAGATACACTAGTCCTACCAGAGAACATAATTTTTGTTTTAGTCACCAGTATTTTCTGTCTTAAATATAAACAATAAGGTTCATACTTGAGGAAACGTAAACTTTATTCGATATTACTAAAACGATAATTCTATATCTGATATAATATTAGGAGGTGTGGTATAACAATCCAACAAATACCAAAATAACATGAATGTAGGCTGACGTTTTTATAATACCTCCTAACATCCCTGCTGCTGCGTATTCAGCACAGTCTGTATTAAAACCAGCAACTGATTCGATTGTTTGAACTTTGTTAATCATTTTATACCCATCTTCGTACTTATAGGCGGCATTCCAGCTTTCTGAAAATGAAAATTCGATTATGCAAAGTGAGAACAATATATTGACCAGGACGTCCAGTAGAATATTTATCAAAAAAATTGGTCCCTTAACGTCAACAAAAATCTTTAAAAGGCCTTAAAAACGTGGTGATTATTTGGACTACGATAAGGACAAAAAATTAAAACATAATATATATGTATATATATAATCATTCATGGACGAAAGTTGCCGGTAGGTATCATTTTCTTTGCATTGACTGTAAGAATCATGGCATAGTTAAAAAAAAAAAGAATAAAGGTTACAATCTACATGATATTAGATCTAAAGCGCTAAGTACAGCAAAAAGGGACATTTTGTCCATTTTACCAATTTCAGAAATCACCTCATGTTATATTCAAAATATCAAAAAAAATAATAATAAAACAATGCTTACCTGGATCATGAAACAAAGATAGAACATAATCAGCAGGTTCATTGGAAGATCCTACAGTATTTGTTAATAGTTCTATCACCTTTGTTTTGACAGCGTCAATATCATCTGCCATAGAACCAGTATAGTCTATTGCCATAGCTAGAGTCATGTCCTTCCGTCTTTTAACATGAAATACATCTTCAAATAATGTAGGTCCAATTGTGTATAACACTCCAGTTCCTAGAAAAAAAAGCTAATAATGCAAGTGACAGCATTTTGCTTTGGTAGATCAATAGAGGATCTTGGTCAAGGTTGGAACCACCCTTTTCATCGAAACGTTTATATAAAAGTAAGTGACAATCGACGAAATGTAGGTTCGGACAATGCCTTTTGCAGATCAAAACCATAAAACACTCCTCCTTAATAATATTCTCCCCCCGCCAGTCTTGATATATTTGATTATTAGTTCAAGGAAAACCAAATCAAATAGACTACATTGATAATATACATATCGACAGAGTAAGAATATAACATGTATAATGCAACATTATTATTTCCATGCAAAGGTTTATACTTACATGAACAACACGACGGGTGTCACATGTGAAGCAGGATCTGCTTATCGATCCTTCCGGAACACCTGAGATCATCCCCGGTTTAGGTTGGCCCAATTTCCTGTTGCTCAGTCTTTAGTTTTCTATATTGTGATTTGTATAATGCTGTTTGTCTTTTGGTTTTTTTTTTTTTTTGCCATGGTGTTATTTACGACGTATGCGTTTAATGTTCCTTTCTCTTTTATTGACAACCAAATCAATAGAGGAACTTTGCTACACGTTTTTATGTTTACACTACACAAAGGATGAATTAAAGGAGATGCGACTGCAACGAATATACACAAGAAAAGAATACATGTTGGTACATAAATAATGCTCCAAATCGAACTTGTGAATAGATTCAACGCCAAATTTCCTGATGGATAAAACCTTCAGGATAAAACCAAAGACAACCCTTGATGAGGTGTTAGAATAGTGACAGTACCTTTGAAATACCTTGAGGTTTAATACAGGTTCTGAGTGAAAATGACTTAACACATATTGCAAAGAAACCTGTCTATTGTCGAATAAACTCACCGTACACCGTAATATGTTGACTATTCTCCTGTTTTTGTGTGTATTATCGGTTGTTGTCTTATTTACGTTTGTATGTAGTTATTCTACATATCGTGTTATTCGTAAATATAATAAGATTTTTAACTGTGCCTGATCATGAGTTTAAAAATATACAAAACGTTTTAAAATAGAATATCAATACACCTGTATATAACCGTGCAATGAGTGAAAACATTTCAAAAGAGAATAATGTTATCCCCATTATAAAGTCAATTGCAAAGCTAAACTGAACGCATGATACCATTTTAAAAGTGATTCAAAATTAGGCAATTTCACTGACCATTAGCAACAAGGAAGTTCTCTGTAGCCTGGACAGCGGCCGTATATGCCTGTTTGTGTAAATGAGAATGTGGTGACCATTCAGGGGTAATGGAATCCTTATTGATGCCACATCTGGCCACAAGCTTTCTGCTGTCATCGTCAGGACCTCCATGACTACATTTACCAGTTGATGATCCAATTGCCTCTAAAGAGAAATACAAAATTGATCAGTTTTAAATCTATTTAAAGAGTTAAGATCTTCTATTCAAGTTTTAAAATAAAAGCAACTAATTTTCATATCATACATTTTTTGTATTTGAAAATATTATCAATTGATTGTCAAATTCTACAATTTTTATTTTTCAAGGATTATTGTTATTAAACGAGCGGCTTAAAATTCTGTTTGATTGATCCATTTAATTGACCGCTGTCATCTATGCGTTCATTGAGTATAAATCAATATGCACTCACCACATTTGTCTGTCAACAGTTATTATATCCATCTCATTAAAATTTACATAATATTTAATAAACTGAAATAATGGATACCATATAATGTTAAAATTCTCTAAATGTTTATAAAGTTTAGAGAATAAAGGTTACCTACTTGCAGGTTTGGTATTGCCTCTTCCGTGATGGTATCCACTGGTCAGTTTACCGTTCACTCTAATGTTGTTCTTACATTCAGAACTAAACAACAAGATAATGAACAATTCAATGAAGGAAAGTATTAAAAGTGTATCGACATATGGTTATATTTACTCATATGCTACTCCCCAAATAGTCGTTTTTCGTTGGTGTACCATTTTTCAGTGCACTACTGGTCGCAATTAAAAAGAGGAGGTTTAAGATCTAAAATAAACTAATTGAACCAGACAAATATTCATGCTTTATGCCTTTCCAACATCGTAACCTCGTTTTCTTTTTTGTTGTTTGGTTTTAGGATTTGTTGTTTATACGTGTTAAAACATATCTTTGGTAATTTTTGTTTTATTCATGGTCCTTAATTCAGGTCCTTTATCGTATATATTGGCGTTTGGTTGCTTTGTTATTCAAAATATACTTAAAAAAAAAAAAAAAAAAACAGAAAACGCGTCATTCTCAAATTGAAGCTTTGATCAATGAAAACACCAAACAAAACCGGGATTGATAATCTGATAAACTGATCTTTCAAACATTCAACTGCTTAATTAACCTCAGACAGTGATAAAAGTGTACACAAACTATCTGTTAACAACTAACAATCTTGTTTTCTTCAAATTCTTCCGATTATTATTGATAAGATTTTTCAATTTACAAAACTATCAGTTTCGCATTTAATTTAGTAAATGCATATGAGTTATTTGAATTAAATAAATATCTCAAGGTAATCGATTAAATCGATAAAACTTCAATACCTTTAAATATCGTACTTTCTTGTTTATCTGATTCTGATAAAAAGTTAAATACATATTACTTGTAATCCGCATTATCTATACAGGTGTCTTCTTCCAAGGCCGCTACGTCCATTAAATCATTTATTCCTATTATTAAAAAAAACAGGATGTGAGGGGTTGTGATAATTTGTATTGTAAAATGGGTTATTTCTTTTATAATTGTTCGGACATTATTGTTGAGAACAAATTCAAGTTACTTCTCAATAAAAGTTTGTTTCCCATTTCAAAGTGCATATGCATGTCCTTTTACAATGACAAATATGTAATTCATATTAATTATACAGTGCCTATCATTAAAGTAGTTTTAAAGAGAATCATGCATATGAATTTGGTACCGATTCTATGATGTTCGGTTCTTCCCTGTAAATTTGACAATCAAATCATTTATCAAGATGTTCATGAATCCAATGCTTGTGTTACCTTGTATTTTTTTGTGTGCTCTTGACTCATTGACTTTTAAACAACATCAGATTTTCCTCATATTTACCAAAATCTTCATATGCAACAACTCCATACATTTCCACCCAGTTCGTATTACTATAGAATGATTGTATAGTATAGAGGCATTCACCAAGCTGTGTAATTAATTCGTCATGGTCATCCTTTCGCGTAATCAATTTCTGTTTACAAGATTTCACGAAGTTATGCGCTGGAATCAAAAGAAACTATGTGTGAATAACTTACAATAACAAGTAACAAATAAGTATAAATTTTGAAAAACCTAAGAAAATTGAAGTTTCTAAATGATATTTTTGCGGGAAATAGGCGCTTCTGAATCTATCGAGTATCTTCAAAGTCGTATAATTTAAGACTGGAGGTTAAATGTTTATGGTTCACTAAATGTGATGTACAAATATATAGTTAGGTGTTTGGAATTATTAGTCAAATTTGCATTTTTCACACTGTTTATTGGTTATATGTGCTACTACTCTTTCTTTTTGAATACTTCTAAAAGGCTTTAGTTTTCTCCCAAAAAAATATGTTTTTAAATGTTTTACAGAGTTCTTTAAAATTTAATGATTTTCAGGAATTTTTCATATTTACTTGATTTGCTATCCTGCTTGCAAAATAAAACGTAGTGTCACAATCAGCTCTTGATAATTAATATTTTCAAAGAAATAGTATTTCGCTTATAAATTAAAAAAAATCACTTGTGTGGGGGAATGGTCCTTGAAATTGGTGTTCAGTATTAATTATATAAAAGATAAAGGACATATGCTATAAGGAGACTAACTATGGATTGTTTGTAATGTAAAATTTACCGAGAAAGATTTGATCGGCTTGACAGTGAATATAAGCTGCATCCTTCTTTTTCTTCTGTGTTTCGGCAACTGCCGATCTCAATGCGTGGACTTTCTGCATCATTGTTTGCTGGCCATTTGGATCTAAATGTAAGTGTAGTAGGTTTTATATGCAAGATTTTGGGATCATTGTTTAATAAAATATAAAATAATGTTAATAGCAAAAATATTTTAATATATTCTGAATGTGAATTTTAAATGTATATCTACAGTAGTCTTCTTTTGTTTTATTCACAGCTGTTTTAGACTCTTGATTTAATATATGGTATAGCCACAAATTCTATCCAACAACAACAAAAAAACAACAAAAACACCCAACGGATTAGAATGAACATCAAATGTGTCATGCACGGGTTCCTCGAAAGCTTAAGCGTCTCCTCTATGCATTCATTCTCGTCGTGCAAATCCAGACTGGGTAAAAATGTCACAACAGGGATTAGGGAATAGATCCAAGATGGTGAAATATTTATCTCATGAGTTCAGTCAAAATATTTCAAGTTAAAAACTTAAAATGTATTTATCTTTAATCTGATTTGATGACAGTTAATCGTTGACTGACTTTAATTTGTGTTGAAAGCGCCCATAATACTTATCTTTGAGTGGATTTCTTAAAAGTGTCGATCATTCTCAATCTCTGCATGAATAAACTCATATGAGGATCTTGATGTGGTTAACGGAATAGAGAATAATTGGCAAAAAGTGCAGAATAAACGATAAAACAATAAAGAATAGAAAAGAATTGACCAAAAGAAATAAAGAATAGAGAATAGTGAGGTGTTAAAATATAAAGAATAGAGAATAATGGGCTAATGATTAAAGAATACAGAAATGAAGGACCCCATCCACACCCACGTTTATGCAGATGTTTAATCAACAATGAAGACAACTATGCACCTAATTTATAACGAAAAATTTAACGAAAAACAAATATTATAGACATGAACCAACGACCATTACTGAATGCGCCTGACTTGGAACATGCACATAAAGAATGTGGCGAGGTTAAACATGTTTGTGAGCGCTGAACCCTTTTACGAACACGAGACAGTGGTGTCACGGCGTAACATAAGAACAAACTGTAAATATCAGTAGCAATTTACTATCAGTAAAGAAATTAAAGTTATCCTACCATCACGAAAGAAATCTTCTATAGATCCGACTCCTTTATTGGCGTTGATATACTTGCTAATCGCTCTGACTGTTCCCGTTGCTGTTATGTCTAAGTGGCTTTTCGTCCTCCAGTTTCCGTCCCGAGATGATCTTGCAAAGAAACCACCAGTTAGTTCGATACATATCGAAAGAGTTATAATCATATTCCTAACATAATTCATTTTCAAGTAAAACTCTTCTTGTGATTATACACACGGTATATTGCTATCTAAATTATGTAATCATAAGTATTCGCATGCAATTACATCAACCGACCTTATGGAAGCTAATAATGTCCTGTCATCACAATTCATTCTTTCGTTTATGGCAAAGGTCCAGTCATTATATACATTGAGGTGTTTAAGACAGATTTTATATCACTTCCTAATTCATGTTTATTTTTAAAACATTGAAATGGCTCAGTGCTCTATATTCAATAAATCAATTGATTTATAAAATAAAAGGTAGATAAAGCAGTTGTAAATTCAATAGAAAAATGGATATAAGCAATTAAATGCCTACGTTATATATAATTGCTGCTATTATATATGTAAAAACCCATAGTTATTAACCGTTATTATGTTTCAAATGTATTCTGCTCTAAAAGATCACTTCTTTGTTGGCAATTTATACTGATTTTATAATTATTATTCAGGCATTAACCTAGTAAATAATGTACAAGTTTTTTGTTTCGTTTGTTTTATTTATACTTTTTAAATTTTTTTGTTTTGTTTTCACTTTCGAGATTTTATATTATGATATATTTAATAAATCGATAGATATATAAATCTAATGGTAGATAAAACAGATATTCGATAGAAAAATGCATATATGAATGTTTATTTTATATATGATTGGTGCTATTATGTAAAATACATAGTTTTTAACCATTATTATGTTTCAAATGTATTTTACCTTAAAAGATAACGTCCTGTTGATAATTCATTTTAATATGATGCGTGACTATTAAGTTATTTTTCTAAATCATGTAAAACATATAGTTTCCTTTGGTTCTTATTAAATACTTTTTCATTATTCGGGTTTTTCTAGAAATTTGATGGTATCAGCTCGACGAGAACAAAATATTAAGATGAGTTTTTATCATTCATTAATTCGTTTGTCATCCGTACATCATTAATAAATATTTTCAAGAATATCATACTCTGAATCACTGGTAAAATGGGGTTCAAATTTCGACAAGTTGTGTACTTGTATCGCTCACCTCAATAAATTTGTTGTAATGAACTTTTTACAGATACAGTTAAGTCTGCCTCATATCTTGACTTACATCTATAAATTGACAATGATGGTCGGTTGAAAACAAAACTTTACGACAAAAGAGATGATTTCAGCTTCCCAATTGTGAACTTTCCATTTCTATGTAGCAACATTCCAGCAGCGCCTGCATACGGAGTATATATCTCCCAATTGATACGATATTCCCGGGCTTGTATTTCCTATCATGATTTCCTTGATAGAGGATTGCTGCTCACAAGGAAGCTATTAAACCAAGAGTTCCAAATGGTGAAGTTGAAATCATCCCTTCGTAAATCTTACGGACGCCATCACGAGTTGGTTGACCGTTATGGAATAACCGTTTCACAGATGATATCGGATATGTTCCTTATGTCGTAACTACAATACCCTTCCCTTTTCACGAATGTGACCTACTGAATTAGACTATTAACCGGATTTGTAATAACATAAGCAACACGACGGGTGCCACATGTGGAGCAGGATCTGCCTACCCTTCCGGAGCACCTGTGATTACCCCCAGTTTTTGGTGGGGTTCGTGCTGCCTAGTCTCTAAACCCTAACAGGAAGGATTGTGCCTGATATTCATATGATGAAGACGTAATCTTTCAATCAGTTTAATTGAAGTCTGGAGCTGGCATGTCAGTTAACTGCTAGTAGTCTGTTGTTAATTATGTATTATTGTCATTTTGTTTATTTTCCTTGGTTACATCTTCTGACATCAGACTCGGACTTCTCTTGAACTGAATTTTAATATGCGTATTGTTATGCGTTTACTTTTCTACATTGGCTAGAGGTATAGGGGGAGGGTTGAGATCTCATAAACATGTTTAACCCCGCCGCATTTTTGCGCCTGTCCCAAGTCAGGAGCCTCTAGCCTTTGTTAGTCTTGTATTATTTTTAATTTTAGTTTCTTGTGTACAATTTGGAGTTTAGTATGGCGTTCATTATCACTGAACTAGTATATATATTTGTTTAGGGGCCAGCTGAAGTACGCCTCAGGGTGCGGGAATTTCTCGCTGCATTGAAGACCTGTTGGTGACCTTCTGCTGTTGTCTGTTCTATGGTCGGGTTGTTGTCTCTTTGACACATTCCCCATTTCCATTCTCAATTTTATTTAGTTTTCTATGTTGTGTCATCTGTACTATTATTTGTCTGTTTGTCTTTTTATTTTTGGCCATGGCGTTGTCAGTTTGTGATCGATAAGTTTGACTGTCCCTCTGGTATCTTTCGTCCCTCTTTTGAAAATAATTTAGAATTAAGGAATATGTCTCCCTCATGCCAAGCTCTAAATCCTTCAAATCTGAACCCCTTATAAAAAAGTATAACGAAATAAATTCCGAACACCAAGGTAAATTAAAAAAGGGGAAGTCCATAACAACTGAGAAAATCTCACATTATCAACCTGTGGAACTAGTGGAAAACAACTGTCATATTATTAATTTGGTACAGATATTTTCCGAAGAAAAAGAAGGCTTAAATCACTTGGAAACTCAACAAATTATACCCCGAGAAACTTACCAAGGAAGATATCCTGGATAATCATAGGTCTGTTCTATGTTCCTCTGGAATGTCAACCGTAGATGAAGAACTGTGTCTTCTTCCATCCCTGTATTGGATACCTAAATTACATAAGTGTCATAACAAAAACAGTTATGTTTTTGGGTTTTCCAAGTGCTACACGAATCCTATTTATAAATTATTAACATCAACCTCATCGACAATAAAAGCTGAGACACAAAGTTATTGTAAAACTTCCTGTTCTCGGGTAGCCGTGCATCAATTGTCGGTTCTATAAAATTCCAAAGATCTGTTACAGTAGATACAATCTACGACTCTTTCATCTTACAAAAGTTTTAAAACATTTGACTTTTCTTCCTTTTACAAATGTATTCCCCATTTCTAACTGAAAGACAAATTGAAATAGTTGGTCCTGTTTTGTTTCATATAGAAAAACACCAACGTAGAAACAAGTATCTTGTCTTAGGGAGGGAATATTACACTTCGTTAAAAATTACTTTGATTAAAAAAAAAAGTTCTCTTAAACTTACATTATTATCAGGATGTTTGAATTCTTAATTGATAACATACATATGGAAGCGCATATGGTACACCCCTTGTAAGTTATTTTGTTGCAAATTAGTCGGAATTATTAGTTATGTTGTGTGTAATAAGCTGGAATCAAATCACCATGTGGAGTCAACTTGTCGGAATGATGAAGAAAAAATTGCATTACAATGCCGACTTGCTAGAATAAATGTAATGACAAAGTAATAAGAAGTCGACGTGTTGAATTCAACTTTTTAACTGATTATGTCGACAACTTGCTCATTTGATGGTAAAACCACGTGACCATTTTAGAAAAACATAGGTCTATTTTTAAATCGATGTCCATATCAGTCGTTTTTTTTAATGTGCTTCTGATGTTTGAAACCATCCATTGAGTTCAAGTTCAAATTAAAGTTCGAGTTGATGTTCAGAGTTATTTGTTATAAAAAGGGGGAACGGCTGTCAAATAATAGAAAAAAGTACTAAAAAAATAACAATATTTCGGACATAAGGGGGATATACCCACGTCACTTAGTCCGGCTGTTTATTTTCCTGAGATCTTACATACACTACAATAATGAAAAACACAAAGCAATGCATTTAGCCTTGCAGACTATTTTAATTTTGTTCCCACTAAGTTGTCATATAAATTATTTGATACTCTTATAAGTATAAAAAAGAAGATGTGGTATGATTGCCAATGAGACAACTCTCCACAAGAGACCAAATGACACAGAAAATAACAACTATAGGTCACCGTACAAAAAATGAACAATGAACGAAAAACAAATATGTAACACATAAACGAACGACAACCACTGAATTACAGGCTCCTGACTTGGGACAGGCACATACATACAGAATGTGGCTGGGTTAAACATGTTGGCGGGATCCCAACCCTTCTCCTAACCTGGGACAGTGGTGTAACAGTACAACATAAGAACGAACAATAAAATCAGTTGAAAGAGGCTTAACTCATCAGATGGACAAAAATACAAATACTACAAAGACGTGGCCGAGTACTTGTACATATTTTGACATACAACTTTGAAATTTAGTTTATGGATAATTTTCAGTCAGCTTTTATGGCATCTAATAGAGCTGCTGTAAATAATAATTTTTGTGATACTCTTGCATTAGCAGAAAAATATCCCTTTGAGAAGGTTCATTCTACAGTTTGTAAAGCAGTATTAGGACTGAAAAAGACAGCCACTAACATAGGTGATAGATCAGAATTAGGTAGATTTACTTTGCACTCTTAAATAAAAACGCAAACACTCATGTATTTCTGATATGAATCCCCTGGTTAAAGAATTTCTACAAACAAACATTAATTTACATTCCGCAGGAATTTATTCTTGGTACTCATTTGCAGATAAAATTTTTAAAGATATGAAAATAAACCCAGAAAATTACTCTAATATTAATGTACCTTTTAAACAATCAAAAAACGTGTGAAAATGTAATATTAAAAAGTGTGTTTCAGAGGAATATGAAAAAACTACTTTAAATAAACTTTCAAAAATGGATTCCTCATCTAAACTTTGTCTTTATGGAAAATTAAAAAAATAATTGTCAGTTTTAGAATTATTTAGATTGCAATAATTTTATACATATGCAGTTAATCTCAAAATTTAGACTTAGTAATCATTCCCTAGGCATTGAATAGGGAAGGGACAGAAATATTCCAAGATCACAAAGATTATGTAAAAAATGTGGAGTTCTAGGTGACGAATTTTATTTCTTTTTGTATTGTGACATAAACATATCATTGCGTTCTAATTTTGTTGCTTATCTAAAAGACTATGTACCATTATTTCAACATTGATGCATTTAATAAACTAAAACACATTCTAAACCCCGTTCCTGAACTTGTTTTCCATATTGGAGTCTTCATTAAGCAGTTTTTAGAACTGAGGGGGTCAGACCCATGTCAGACAAGCTTATGATGGTGTTTTTAACATAAATTTATA